ATTGATTAAGCTTATACATGTGTTTCATTGAGACTCGAAAAGGTGTGCATGTCATAGTTGCATAGATGTTTATTGAACTTGTTCGTGAATTTTGTTCAATTATTGATCTTTATATGTCTTATGAATGTCAGCGGGGGCATCCGTGTCCCTGGACACAATTTTTTCTTGTTATGGATATACAACTTCTTTATTCTGTATAGGCGACGTTTCGACATAGATTCTAATGTCGTTAGAAGCAAGTGGTACATGAGAAGTAATTTGGGGTGATATATATACATGAGATGTTGGACAAGAGATGAGGGATGAGGGAACATGAGATGTTTATACAAGAGGTTGATAACACAGATAGTATACATGATTAAGTAGGTTGATGGAAGCAAGTTGATGGAAGTCCATGGTTGTATACATAAGGGATCAAGGATGTTGATTGGCAGCCAATAGGGGGTGATGTACATAGGTATATACATAAGGGATTAGGTATTGTTGGGAAGCCAGAAGTGATGGACACAAGGGATAATGTACAATGGTAGGGTTACATGAAAATTAATTCAGCAAGTGATGATAGGCCTTGGGGATGAAATATCCTTCATCTCTGTTGATAGATGGGGTAATCTTCTTTATATGGACAGCTTCAAGTAGTTTGCGGGTGTTGAAGTCAGCTTTGTTCCTTCTAAACTCTAAATCCGCCACAGCTGACCACGTTACAGCCAATCCAAACCACAACATCAGTTGGAACACCACCAAGATCATCGAGATGAACACAAAGAAGTTGTATATCCATAAAAACAGTCCTCAACCTTATAAGAATAGTCACAAACTATTGCACAACCACTGGTCACATGATGTATGTATAAATGCCCTTGAACTTTGCTTGCTAGTTCGCTAGTTCATGCATTGCATCACAGACTTCAAGTGTCAACGGTAGCGGACATATGATGATGTCATGTCACATGCATAACATTCGTCTGTATTTGGTGCTTGTGTTGTCGGTCTTTAAAAGATGGCCCATAGTCCCTAGTATGGTGATCTACATTCAGTTGTTGGCAATCTATAGCCGGTTTTTATATTGTATTGTCATTTATAGGTAAACTATTTTAGATAAAATAACTAGTCAACAGGTTTTTAATTTCTAACTTTATTGATCTTTAATATAATTATAAAGTGTTCTCGTCACGATATGGCTGAAATATTGTCGATGTGACGATAAATATTAACTCACTCACTCACTTTACAAGATGGGGTAGCCTTGTGGTCAAAGCGTTAGCTTGTCACACCGAAGACCCGGGTTAGATTCCCAACATGGGTACAATGTGTGAAGCCCATTTCTGGTGTCCCCCGCCGTGATATTGCTGGAATATTGCTAAAAGCGGCGTAAAACCATACTCACTCACTCTTTACAAGATGCGGTCTGTTCAACACAGGAATAGACGTGACATTTTGAACTATGAATTTTATATGATGATCGATCAAAACACAGTGAAATATTACCGGTATACACATGTATTTCATTAATAATGTACATATTCTATAGTTTAGAAATCTGTGGTTAGAATTGATCTTCAGCAGCCTATGCTTGTTGTAAGAGGCAACTAACGGGATCGGGTGGTCAGGCTCGCTGACTTGGTTGACACATGTCATCGTATCCCAATTATGTTGATTGATGCTTATGATAGTTGATCACTGGACTGTCAGACTCAATTACTGTAAATCATGAAATTTTTGCATCACAATATTTTTTAGAGTACCACCCAACAGACGTTTTTGCGTCATGATATTTTTGCGACTAGCCTAATTCTCAAAATCAGATTGCAACTGAAAGTTCTACCTAATTTAAATCCAATAACATATCCCGGTGTCAGGGGTTTTCAACGATGTAAGACAAAAACATATTTTTTATCTGTAATACCATTTAAAGTTTTTATTTATTTTACTAACCTTGAGTGATAAAGGATATATTCATCTATTTCACACACAAATATCAAGTGTTTCCTACAAAAATAGTGTTGATGGCATTGTATCGGCGAAACTGTTGCCGCTCGTAACATGCGGGTATTTTGTATAGGTTTTCGATGATGAGCAAATACTTTTTGCTCCACACTGCGAGGGAGTGTTGTGATCACGTGGCTTCCTATTTATATATTGCCTGTCACCAGCAGATGACTGATCTAACTGAATTTTCACTTTCTATTTTTTGTTATAAAGGCAACTGATTTTGCATCTGAAGTGGTATTAACGATTTCGGGTAAATAATATTGATGTTTGTTTGCTTTTTATATAACTTTACTTCCCGATTTCCATTGTCAATAAAACTTCTCACGACAGCGACTGGGCACCCGCCCTACCAGTGAAACTGTTTGTGCACTCCGATCGCACACGTACTCTCCCGATATAGCGCATGCAATGCAATCGTCAAAATCACCAGAACGTCGAATTCAGCTCGTGTTGGGATATTAAAAGTTGCTGCTAGTCTTGAACAGTAGAGTACTTCCATGTGTATGCAGTCAGAGATGTTTTCCAGTAACAACACATACTGCACAGGCCAGATTAGCTTAAAACAAAGGGATTATATTATGCTATTCACATTTTGCTAAGGATCAAATCATGGATTCAACTGAAAGCTAGGATGTGGGGTCAAATTGGATTTAAATATCTAAGCTTATTGTAAGTATGGATCCCAGGTTTCAGTATGCCATTTCATCTTGTGGATCCCATACCTGCTATTGACAGGTGTTATGTACTTGTCAATGACTCATTCCATGATTTGCAAAATGGTTGATTGGTGCCATGAAAACCATTTTAATGGTTACTCATGTATCAAGTGCATAAGGTTAGATTAAAGTGGCTGTTTGCCTAAAGAGGGGTTACCATATTATTATTTATCCAGTTTTAAATGGATACAATTTCAAATTATGAATCTACATTTAAGTAAAGTTGTGAATTTTTGTGATCCTTAGCAAAGTGTGAGTAGTATAATTGGAATGCATCTATTAAATTGTTGCAAGAACAGAACAGGATGTTTTTATAACTGAAGATGAAAGTGAAATAGTATTTATAAAATTCAGTATAAACAAAGTATGTAACTGGAGAACAGGATGTTTTATAATAGTAATTTTTTCCATGATTTTTTCCCATGACTTTTCTCCTATTACTTTTTTTTTCCAATCACCCTTCTAGATGGCAAGAGCAAGGTGAAAGGAGAAAATGATGATGTTCAAGTGACTTTCTAATAAGTGTTATCTGTGCACTGACAAACATGTGATGTAAAATAATTTGGTGCTTGGTCTCATATGTTAATACCTAATGTTGTCTTTTTTATCAGGGCACATACCATTATTATCAAGGGTACAGCTTAATTAAGCCTTATGCAGCCCACCATAAAATGTGTTGTTTTAAGCGGTCTGTCTTATGGGAAGGTACCGATGACATCACCAAAGCTGTTGATCTCCGGATACGTGTGATGCCACCTACCCACGCCTGAAGGATGGGTAACCCCCCATTACCCCTACATGCCACTACCCCTACAGCTTATAACAACATAGTTTACGGTCTGTTGCACTGTTAATCCCCTGCCTGTTACCTATTCCATACAATGGACTAATCCACTTAAGAGACATAACAACACACAACTAAAAGATAGAGAGAATGATTTTATTGAAGGTTGATATCATTTGTCATCATCAAGATTTTAATAAGGATTAACAATAATTTGTTATCATGATTAATTGATGAACATTAACAATTAATTGTTAACATTCAATGTACATAGTACAGTGTTGATACCCATAGTACAGTGTTGATACTCATAGTACAGTGTTGATACTAAACCCCTTTGAAATATAGTACAGTGTTGATACTAAACCCCTTTAAATAGAAATATGATTTTTGTCTTAATTCCGTGTATTTATTGCATGTAAAGAAATAATGCACAGCATTTTCGACTGGATGTCCACATGGGCACGTCCCGACCAAAAATAATAGTTTTGTTATATTGTCTTAATATTGAGTTTTTGAATCGGGATAAAGTCTGTCGGCCTTTCAAATGGTTTCTAAAGCAACAGAATGTGTGTTGAGTAGTTGACGCCTGTCTGGACTATCAGACGCACTGATTGAGTAACTTTTGTTCGAGTATTCCTTGTTTGACATGTGAAGTGTGAGTACTAGTAACGGTAGTAATTAGTCTTCCCCCAAGTTGTTGTTACTGCTTAATTGATGTATTGTCTAGATCTGTTCTTGATTATATGGACTGGTGAATAATGAAATGTCGTGTTATTTTTGCGAGATCAAGTCATTCGCAATTTTCACAAATATATCATTCTTGCAAAAAATTTGTGATTTACAGTATTCACAGACTGCCGCTATATATCTGGAATATTGGAATATTGAGTACGGCGTTAAACAAACAAACAAACAAACCCCTGTTACTTTTGATTAAATCATCAAATAGCTTTATATATTCTGCAGAATAAAGTTATCAAAGGTTTATGTCAGGATTGACAAATTTTCCTAGTTTATTTCAGTCCAAGTAAACCTATTCTTCCAGGCTACCAGCATATATGATAACGTAACAGACAGGATCGGATATAAATAGGAACAGTGTAGTTTTTAGCATATCGAAATATAGTGACGCATATCGTTGCATGATAACGCAAGGGATTCCCACTGCTGGGGTTTCCTCATGTGCCAAATCACGTTTCGCAAAAGAAACTCTTGACAACAAGTATTTATCCGATATAGATTTCCTTTTGCACGATATGCATGGAAATTAAATGTTAGGCGTACAATGGTATTTATTTGAGTACATGATATGCTTGAAATCTTATATTATGTCGTACTTCATTGATTTTGAGGCGAACATTACACCTGTACGCCCCTTGTCTGTAGCCCTGAATTTTGTTTTATATTTCAGTCCAAGTAAACATATTCCGCCAGGTTACCAACGTAAATGATAGCGTAACAGACAGCTTGTTTCAGATTCGACTAATTTTCCCATTTCATTTCAGTGCAAGTGAACGTTTTCCTCCAGCCAACCAACATAATCGATAACGTAACAGAAACTTTGTTAGTAAGATGCTATCTCACGGGCAGCGTGGCTGACGGAATCTCAGCTCAGTCAATCTTTCTGAACTTCAATAAGTCATCATCAGTGAGTACAATTACTCGGGCAAGTGTACAGGGCGTTGGGAATCCCTCGTTGAGTCCCGACATTGCCGACAGAGCCACAGTGGAAGGGTCAATCAACGCGGATTTGGCTACATCTTCGTACTTGAACCTCAACTTCAACAATGTGTCCTGTGCTGACGTTGGGATGTACACATGCAAGTTCACTTACCAAAACGGGACAACAATGACGAAGGAAACATCGGCACAAGTATCCGGGTCATGTGAGTTGGCTTTTAGGCCAGACCAATTTTATTTCTTGTTTTACAGATCCATCTGTCATATATTTTCCAGAATTAGAAAAAAAAAAATAATTAATTTTCACCGCTCAAAATTTTTTACTTTTGGCAATTTATGAAGTGTATATGGGGCAATAAACAATCTAAAAGCATTTGCTTGCTCATTTACATTTTTGGCAAATAGATCTATTAAAATTTTATGCTCTTAGTATTTAAAAGGAATATTACTTTGACTGGTGATTTTTATTTTTATTTTTTTCCCCTCCTGGCTTTAGGTATTCTGAGGACAAAAATCCATAAAACAAGAAGTAAAATTGGTCTGGCCTTAGTTTGATTTAAATCTAAGCTGAGTTGCTTCCCCTCTGATTCATTCAACGTTTAGTACCAGTCTTTTCGGAAAAGTGTTCAAACTTGAAATTACATACATCCCATCAGAAACATCTTGCAATGTGCGTTGTAGGATTTTTCATTCCTTCAGCCTTCAAAATTCCTGCTATTCGGCCAGTCTCACAGTCCCTGCAACACATCATTTTCCCATCCACTCAGCCCTTTGTCAAGGCAAGAGACCTAAATGAATCAAATCTAGATTTCCTCGGGTTCTAAATCTCCCTCCCTACTCTGTCTCCCTTCTAATTTAAAAGGAATTATTTGTTTCTGTCAGAATTATATATATTCAGGAACTAAGCAAGGGGCGGTGTGGTAGCCTTGTGGTTAAAGTATTTGCTCTTCATGCCAAATGCGCAGGTTCCATTCCCCACTTGAGTACAATGTGAGAAGCCCATTACTGGTGTCCTCCATTGTGATATTGCTGGAATATTGCTAAAACCCAACTCGCTCTCTACAGTCCGTTTGAGTCAGAAACGGACCGATGAATTGCAAATTTTATCATTGTACAAAATTGCCACATAAATATAAATAGTACACATGTTTATCATTTACTAATACCCAACAGCTTTCTTATATTTGAAATTTTTTCCGGACTCCACCAAAAAAGTTCTTTAAGAAACTATCATTCAAATTTTGAGAATGACTCATATGTTGATATAATCTTGCTACTGTTATAATGAAATTATAATGGTGCCGTTTTAGCCCAGAAATCAGTAGCCGTTTTCGCCAATATGGTGCCGTTTTCGCCAAACAGATTTGGTGGCGTTCTGCTGTGGTGCCGTTTTGGCTATAACCCTTCTCGAACACCTGGCTGTCCCTTTCTCTGCACTCCTCCCTCGTAACACATAGTGAACTGTGTCAAAATTTTAATGATAGTTTGTTAAACAACTTTTTTGGTGGAGTCCGGAAAATTTTCAAATATAAGAAAGCTGTTGGGTATTAGTAAATGATAAACGTGTACTATTTATATTTATGTGGCAATTTTGTACAATGATAACATTTGCAATTCATCGGTCCGTTTCTGACTCAAACGGACTGTAGTCTAGGCAAGCCCAAGACTGCTATACTGTGCTCAGCAAAACAACAATGATGGTTGATGTTTGCTGTTGATAATAATCATTCTCAAGGGATGCTTTCAGCCCTTCAGTGTTCACACCAACTGGAACAGAATTAAATTACCAAATTTCTCTCTTTTAAGCAGGACTAGATACGATCAGACCATGATAACATTTGTATTAGATTTGTATTAAATTTACATTAGATTTAGTCCTCTGAAATCATATTTCTAAGGCTGGGCACTTCTAGTGAGAGTGAGTGAGTATGGTTTTATGCTGCTTTTAGCAATATTTCGGTAGTATCACGGCAGGAAACACCAGAAATGGGCTTCACACATTTTTGGGCACTTCTACATCTTTAATGCAGCAAATCAGAAAACATTATTACACGATGCATGCCAGTCTCTTCCCTAATCATGCTAATCATATTTTGCAAACTTATCCTATCTCATACTATGGAACTCAGTCTTCTTCAGTTCTGGCGTGGAAACGTAGTGAAGACATGTTTCCTGCTTCAAAAAAAACATATCACCCAAACACATCCCATTTTCTAAACAGCGACCTACTTAATTTCAAAACAAATTTGCTTGTAGAACCATTATGCGTGTTACTATTAGTTTTCGGAAAGTACTGCTCTTTCCAAGCAAAGTTACTGTTTGGATCTGAAATGATGAGAAAGATCTGGGAGCTGTTACGCCAAACAAACTTAGGGTTAAAACTGTGGTAAGTCTGTGTTAAGGTATGGGAGTTTATATAATCACTGAAGCGCTACAACTGTCGTGAGTCTGTGTTAAGGTATGGGAGTTATGATCACTGAAGCGCTACAACTGTCATGAGTCTGTGTTAAGGTATGGGAGTTATGATCACTGAAGCGCTACAACTGTCGTGAGTCTGTGTTAAGGTATGGGAGTTATGATCACTGAAGCGCTACAACTGTCGTGAGTCTGTGTTAAGGTATGGGAGTTATGATCACTGAAGCGCTACAACTGTCATGTAGTCTGTGTTAAGGTATGGGAGTTATGATCACTGAAGCGCTACAACTGTCGTGAGTCTGTGTTAAGGTATGGGAGTTATGATCACTGAAGCGCTACAACTGTCGTGAGTCTGTGTTAAGGTATGGGAGTTATGATCACTGAAGCGCTACAACTGTATGGGAGTTGTGAAGCGCTCAACTGCCAATGTTAAGATATGGGAGTTATGATCACTGAAGCGCTACAACTGTCGTGAGTCACTGTGTTAAGATATGGGAGTTATGATCACTGAAGCGCTACAACTGTCGCTCTGTGTTAACTATGTCGCACTGAAGCGCCACAACTGTGTCTGTGTTAAGGTATGGGAGTTATGATCACTGAAGCGCTACAACTGTCGTGAGTCTGTGTTAAGGTATGGGAGTTATGATCACTGAAGCACTACAACTGTCGTGAGTCTGTGTTAAGGTATGGGAGTTATGATCACTGAAGCGCTACAACTGTCGTGAGTCTGTGTTAAGGTATGGGAGTTATGATCACTGAAGCGCTACAACTGTCGTGAGTCTGTGTTAAGGTATGGGAGTTATGATCACTGAAGCACTACAACTGTCGTGAGTCTGTGTTAAGGTATGGGAGTTATGATCACTGAAGCACTACAACTGTCGTACGTCAATGTTAAGGTATGGGAGTTATGATCACTGAAGCACTACAACTGTCGTACGTCAATGTTAAGATATGGGAGTTATGATCACTGAAGCACTACAACTGTCGTGAGTCAATGTTAAGATATGGGAGTTATGATCACTGAAGCACTACAACTGTCGTACGTCAATGTTAAGGTATGGGAGTTATGATCACTGAAGCGCTACAACTGTCAAGGTATGAGTCACTGAAGCACCACAACCGTCGTGTTAAGATATGGGAGTTATGATCACTGAAGCAATACAACTGTGTCGTGTTAAGAGTCACTGTGTGTTAAGGTATGGGAGTTATGATCACTGAAGCACGACTGTCGTCATATCCACGGGAGTTATGATCACTGTCGTAAGTCATCGTCTGTGTTAAGATATGGGAGTTATGATCACTGAAGCAGTACGAAACTGTCACTCGAATTCTGTGTTAAGAAATGGGAGTTATGATCACTCAAGAAGTACGACTGTCATACGTCAATGTTAAGATATGGGAGTTATGATCACTGAAGCACTACGACTGTCGTATCTCTGTGTTAAGATATGGGAGTTATGATCACTCAAGCACTACGACTGTCGTATCTCTGTGTTAAGATGTGGGAGTTATGATCTTTGTACAGTTGTACACAAATTTTATTAAGTTGGATAGAAACTGAATATCCAGTTTATGTTGTGTTGTTCGAAGATTACTCAGGTGTAATCAATATTTCTATCCTATTTCAACAGCCCTGCCAGGTAGGATTGAAGTGCGACACGACCCTGTCAAGCAAAAGTATGCCATTGGGGAAACGGTGACCCTGATCTGTTCAGCCATGGTCAGCAAGCCTGCAAGAGATTGGACATGGCAGAAATTTGAAGGGGTGAGTGAGATCTGTCAGTAATATTATCAAATGTAAAAATTCATTATTGTGACAATGTTTTTGCATGAGAATACGATGAATTTACTTTTGCCATATTGACTTGGCATGATGTGAAAAATGAATATATAATATTATCATGCTTAATACAACACACTTAAAAAATAACCCATGAAGTATGAGAAATTGCAGATTATCTGTTCCTGGTGCAGTGGCGGATGATAGAGGGGCTTCGAAAACACACAAGAAAACACACACACACACTTGAAAATTTCTGGATCCGACTATGTGGTGTGTCAATTCTGAGGGAATGCTGCATTCATTCATGAGTGACAGATAATCCATTATTCTGGGAGCAAAGTAGGTTATTCTGTACATTATTAACTACCCATGAAGATCCGGGTTAGAATTGGACTTCATCAGCCCATGCTTGTCGTAAGAGGTGACTAACGGGATCAGGTAGTCAGGCTTGCTAACTTGGTTGACCAAGTCATCGTATCCCAATTGAGTTGATCGATGCTCGTGCTGTTGATCACTGGATTGTCTGGTCCAGACTCAGTTATTTGCATCTGCCGCCATATAGCTTGAGTATTGCTGAGTGCGGCGTAAAACTGAACTCACTCATGTCTGCATCACATTTTTAAGGATACGCATTACAGTATTTTGTACTGAGAATGGTATTTTGGGTAAAAAAATATACTAACATTGTGTGATTATCTTTATGAGTTAAGTAAATATTTACTCAGACTTTCAATCACAGCTGATGTTGCTGCCATACTTTACATGTTATGAACTGTATGATGAAAACAGAACCCTAACTGACTGGTCCCAACTAGCCAACCCAATTTAATATTAAGGGCCTTCGTATGTAGAAAAGGGGATCTGCATGTACAGTCAGTGTTACTCACTGTCAAACGCTTTAGCTACAAATATATTGCAATACAGTGGAAACCTGATAAGTAAAATTTCAAGGGACTCGCCAAAATTGTTTACTTATCAGGTATTTTACTTATCCAAACTTATAAAAACCTGCAAATGACAACCATATGCATGTATATGAATGCATATGTAACAATGGACCAATTAATCAGGGCTGGCCTCCGGTTGTCAGTGTATTGTCAACTGCGTGCTGCCAGCGAACTGTAAGTAGGATGTTTGTTTGACTTGAGACTGACACGACTGCCCCTCATGTCGGATTATGTGGCGATCACTAATTTAGTTATCCAGTCTCTTTTGTTAAATAATTTACTTCCAGGGACCGTGAGAAGACGTTTAGTTAAGCGGTATTGTTTACTTATCCGAGTTTAGTTAACCGGACTGTAATAGTGATAAGTAATGAAGAAATTTGCCGGGACCAAAGAAAAGTGTTTACTTATCAGGTCTGTTTAGTTAAGTGGTCTTTACTTAGGCGGTTTCCACTGTATGTATCACAATACAGATACTTGAATGTCAAAATATTGCAGTACAATCTATTTGCAAGTAAACAGCCCTTCATCTTGGGTCTGAGAACTAAGGCATACAGAGTTGCCTCCCCTTGTTTCGCCAGGAATGATGGTGGGTTCCAATCTCGGCTAACCCTGGCAATCTCATTTAGTATATTTAAGCCGCAGACTTTACCAAACACAATGACGCGTGAGAATTCTGGTTAGAATTGATCTTCAGTAACCCATGCTTGTCGTAAGAGGCTACTAACAGGATCGGGTTGTCAGGCTCACTGACTTGGTTGACACGTCATCATACCCCAAATGTGTAGATAGATGCTCATGATGTTGATCCCTGGATTGTCTGGTTCAGACTCGATTATTTACAGACCGCCACCAAATAGCTGGAATATTGCTGAGTGCAGCGTAAAACTAAACTCACTCACCAAAACCAATGACAAAAAGACTGAGGACCTGAATACATGGCACTTTTTTAAGAATAACAACTTTTAATTCCTTGTATGATGGATTTTTCAGAGCTAATCCTTGCTCCTTTATCAGGTGAATGAACCATAGAATTAGCTCTAAAATGTCTAAGGAATAAAAAGATTCAAGTTGTTATCCATAAAACAGTTTTGTGGAGTTACTCCGGTTTTCAAATACAAAATCAGTTCTCCAATTTGTCTTTAAAAAACTCTGATTTTTGAGATAATAGAAATAAGTTTATAAATTTAGAATATTTGAAATTATCTTAGTAAATATCCATTTAAATATGTTAATTTCAGTTATGTCTTATCTGGATAAGTATGCCAAGAAATTGTAGGAAATTGCATATTTCCAGGCTAAGTCTAAAATTTTCATTGGGGAGGCCCCCCAGACCCCCACTGTCGAGATGGGGATGAGCCCCCTCTTGCACTCACCCCAAACTCTCACCTTTGGGGCTCGGGCCTAGCTTTCAGCCAGGTATGACTCAACTGTCATTAGATTCAGGATTGGCATCTCTGATAAAAACATGTCAATTATTCATGTTCGTCCAACTTCTAAATGCCTTTCAAGAACTACCTGAGGACCTACCTGCCAGTTTCAGTCAGAGCTCCGAGCAGATCAAGGTAAACTCAATGTCTCTTACCCAACAGGGGTCCTGGAAGCCATACACTAACGGGGTTTCCCAAGACACTCCTGCACTGGTGACCGACTGCGCCTACTACCGCACCACCTCCCTCGTATATAGGGTCACAGATGAGGATGAGACCAAGTTTCGCTGCATCATCGGCAGTGACATCAGCACCTCCATGGAAACCAGCATCAACGGCGTAGTGAATGGTAGGTGGACTGCATATCAGGTATCTTTATAGCCGGATGCCCTCCAGGATTCGAACCCTCATTTTGAGAATATTCACCTCTCATCACCAGCAGCTTAAATCATACAGTAAACCCAGGGGTGGAAATAACCCATTGCCCGACGTCCAAGTCCAGTGTTTTTTTTCTGTCGGGCAAGCAAATTTGTATATCACACTGTACCGGTGTCCAGTTGACTTTCCAATGTTAATTATGCTGCTTATTTAAAAAAATCAACAAGAAAACGGACGGTATAGAGGAAAAATTATCAGGGCAAGTGATTTTACATGTGCCACTGTACCGGAGTACACTAGCAATTTTAAAGTTATTTCCACCCCTGGAACCCACTCGTACTTGTCATGCTGTACATTTCCAGTCAGCCACTGTCACTTCCATTCAACGGAAATCCGAAGCACGATAATATAGATCAGAAGAAGAAGTTTATTTCAGTATTTGAGGTCACATGACCAAGAGTACAAACTTTCAAGACAATATTTCGCAGATGGACAGATAAAACAATGTGATTAGTTCATTTTCATACAGGCAAGTTACACTTTAGATTTATTGCTATTGACTTCAGTAGATATGCATTTGTTGTTCTTAAAAGTTGTTTAAATTTTAATCTTGATGGAAACGTATGGTAATAATTTGGTTCATGCAGCTTTCTATTTACGGAAGAGAATGGTCACACAAGTAAAAAATGAAATTCATCTTGTGTAACATTAAAATCACATTTGTTACATATCAGGACATTGTTATTTATATTATTATTATAATTACTGAATAATAATTGTTATTATATTTTCTTTGGCCTTGAACAAAATTCAAATGTCCAACTGCTTTAGAATTGTGTCAAAATATGTTCATTTCATCATTTCAAGTTGTACTCACTGCACATGTGATATGTATTTTCATCTGTTATTATAACTACAATTCACTTTGCTCTTTTCAGGTGGTCAACACTTGATTATCTCACCTGTACTTGTGATGCTGTCCATCTTGTGTGCCATCTGGCAGTGAGAGAGGAATCAAGGGAGATAACCAACATTCTCATTGTTTCATACAAGTATATCATCCCATTTATGCTCATTGCTAGGAAAATGTTTGAAAATGGTTAAGTCTGAGTGATGATGCACTTGACAGTATCAAAGTTTTTGCTGTGTAGAGAGCAGCTGTCCTGAAACTGGGGCACCATCTCTGGATCTGGGGTTTTTTTTTCACAAATATGCTTGACCTTGGGGATGAGGTTTTTATGAAAAACGTTTTTTGTGCTATTGCATTTAGTAAAACAACATTACAGGACACTCAGCTATCAATACTCAATACAACAAGGATTGGATTCCATGGGAAGAAATTGTATCTGAAACTAATTGTACCAACAAAAACATATTGCAATATTGTGTTATTTAAGTTTCTGCTTATATAACATGTTTTTAAGAAAGCAAAATAAAAAAACCCATTGACATTGAAGTGTCAATACATTGTCAGAAATGAGGGAATGATTTTGTTGCAGGTTCCAGTAAATAGTTTGTGGTGATTATTCATCTCTCACCTGAGTATATTAACAGTGGTGTACAGCTGAACAGTATGGTGACAAATATCACGCATCACATTGTGGTTAATGAAAACATGGCCAGGGCTCAATTTAGTGCTTTGTTACTTGCACTGGTGCAACCCAATATTACAAAGTTCAACCTAGTTATTAGTCTAACTTGCAATTTTTGAGAGTGTAAGCTTCTGAATAAAATATCTAAATAATTCAATAGCTTATTTCTGATATTACATATTGCAATAAAAACAGTGCAACTGGAATTTGACTGGTGCAACTAGGCTTTTATCTTAGGTTGCACCTGGTGCAAGTAGGTTAACATCTCTTAAATCGAGCCCTGATGGCAGTGAGAGAAATTTATTGGATGCTTATCCCTTTAGGGAATACAGTTTGTTATAGCCTCCATGTGATTGTTTACTCTGGCTCGATACAGAGTGTACATCCTCTTGTGTTTGTTTGTTTGTTTGTTTGTTTAACACGACAGTCAGCAATTTTCCAACTACATCATTGTGGTCGGTAAATAATAATAATAATAGTCCATTTATATTGCGCATTTTTTCCATGCACATTGCATGCTCAAAGCGCTGACATATTACCCCTGGTCAACGAGTACAGAACACTCCATGTGGAGAATACAACCGGTCGCCTGTCAGGCGCTCAAGGTTCAAATTCAGACTACCATCGTATCATGCTAGGTACCCAATTTTACTGCTGGGTGGACAGAGGCAATTTTGAACAAACTCACTTGCCTAAGGTGAGACCACATGCGTCACATGTGCTTCGTTGTGGGGCAGGACTGAAGTCCTAGAAACTGAAGCTGCCAAACACGGTCACCCAGCCGAGGACTGTCTGCAACCAACGTTGCTTAACTTCAACTGATTGTGACCTGAGCTCTATGCACAGGACCACACACCGCCATGGAGTCTGGACCAAACAATCCAGTGACCAACACCATTATCATCGATCTACGTTAATAAGTGGGGATATTGTATGCATTATCCGTGTCAACAAGCCTGACCACATGATCCCATTGCCTCTTATGATAAGCATAGGTTACAGAAAAACTATTGTTGCCCAGGTCTTCACCAGTTCTTGCTCACATCTTCACAGGTCTCGTCCACTTGTGACAAGCATATGGTTTGTCTTGGTAGTGACTGAATTATTTACAGGCTGGTGTCCGATATAGCTGGAATAGTATCTGTCTGCACAAGGTCAGCAGGGACGAGTCTGCCATTAATTGTACTTTGATTAACTGAGCATTTTAATCAAGTTCACAATATGCATAGAAGCAGGGGTGGTCCAAAGGTTTGAAATTTGCTTTGCAGAGTTGTCTCCCTTTGTTGTGCCATCTTCTGATGGTAATGGGGAACAATTCCCCAATTTGGACCCGATCTGTCACCGCTGTACTGGTGCTTGTGGGTTTTCATCTAGACCTAAAAGAGACATGCGCGCGCACACACACACCCAGACAAAGTAGGGTGACATTACATGTTAACTTATGTTTTTATATACTTTTATACAATTTTTAATTTTTGTTTCCATTTTACTATTTTTGAAGTTGGATCAGGAAACAGAGTTTATCATCTCATCGACTAACAAATGATAGATAACACAGTGTTTGTGAGATTCTCCAAAACCACTCCAAGTTTCTTGTCCCTGGGGCAGACGGGTAGCACAGTGGTTAAAGCATTCCGACATCACACTAAAGGCAAGGGTTCATTTCCCCCCACATGGGTTTAATTTTTACGAAGCCCATTTCTCTCTCACTCACTCAATGTCATCCACATGGCTTCATAGTTTAGAATATTTCAGGGTATGTGGTCTGGCTCACGGTCTCTGAACATTACGGTACATTGTCTTTCATAGAGGTGAGGTGAGGTGAATTGGGTTTAACGTCGTACTTGAGAATATTTCGCTCATATGACTACGTGCATGCGCGTGTATGTGTATGTGCGGCTGCTTGTACTAGCCCAGACTGAAGCTGGTTTTATAGTGCTAGCCCACTGAGATACCATGCCGCAGTGGAGCATGAATATCCCACTCAGACACATTATACTGACTCCAAGCCGACCAGTCCTTGTTGTACCCATTAATGCCGAGCGCCAGGCAGGGACCAACAAGTACCATATTTTAACGTCTTTTGGTATGACGCGGTCGGGGATCGAACCCGCGACCTTCCGCTCTCCGGGCAGACGTCTAACCATTACACCACGGAGACGGCCTCTTTCTTAGAGACTAAGCATCAGACAAGGGTGATATACTGAAGGTCAAAAGAAACGCATTGGCACTGGTAAAAATTTGAAAAGGATCACGTCTGAGATAAATTGTTGTTTGTACTTCTCATGCTGTACATGAGGCGGTGGGGGTAGCCTAGTGGTGAAAGCATTCGTTGGTATTGCCAAAGACCCGGGTTCGAATCCCCATTTGGGTACAATGAGTGAAGCCCATTTCTGGTGTCCCCCGCCGTGATGTTGCTGGAATATTGCTAAAAGTGGCATAAAACTAAAATTAGATGTAAAACTTGCCAGCCCTGACCAAAACTTACCCGCAAATAATTTAGGTATGACATCCAATTTAGTTCATCATCGAATTGGAATTCATCATTTATTTTCACAAGTGAATTAATAATGATTTATTATCCTGAAATATGGTATATATCTTCAGATGAGATGTATTTTGTGCCTTAATAATATGAATATTTGCTGGCTAATCTGTCCCAATAACTGAGGTATCACTTGATTCATTCAAAATACCCACGACGCAGCTCAGCGAACATGTTCAAAAGATGGATGAACATAGTGTGGCTGGACTCATAAGCATTGACGATGCTGGTCTGTTCTCTATATATTTACACATCTATATGGTTTTCATATTGCAAATGATAGACAGAATATAAGCTTACGTATACCTATACCTAGTCTGTATCACAGTCCCTGAACCACATTAATTTCCCTACTGCGAAGCCCCCTCTGCAGTGCTAAAGCCCTAAATAAAGCAAGTCTAGATTTCCTCAGGTTCTGAATCTCTGGTCTCCCTAGGGCTCCTTTTCAATATAAATGGGCTTGTTTGTTACTATCAAAATTATATATATTCAGAGACTAAGCCTTAGTCTAACCTATACCTAACTGCCAATCTTATATTATCAGACTAATCCATCCTTGTTTTGATCAGGTTTTTACGGGGCGCGTGATTCCTGCGTATTGGACGCAGAAATTTGATGATGTACCCCCAAACTAAATTCATGTGTGTCCGTGTGGGCGCATTATACTTTTGCTCCGGGAAAGAATGTCATGAATTTGTAATGATATCCCATATCAATATATAAACATTCTATTTACAATCATTATTCTAATGACATTGAAAGTAGCACATATCTTAACATAATCATTATCAAATGGGAAGCATCCATGGTCATTGATTTCATGCAAATTGATGGACTCTTAATTTTCAAAATGGACTCTCAAAAAAATATCGAGTCCCCAGGACTCCCAGATTTGAAGAGCTATGTAAAACCCTGTTTGATATACTCAAAGTATATTTGAGAAAAATTCCAATGACATATCAATTGAAAAGTTTCAATGACATCTGAAAAATTTCAATGATATTTCAATTGAAAAATTTCAATGACATCAATTAATGGGTCAAAATGGGTGGGTTAGAAAATCAAGCCTTTTTATAGTGTGTCCATGTGAGAATAGAACCCAAATATGTGTCGAGATAAGCTATCAGGTTAACCATTAGACTTCCCCATGTATGATGTTTGTATCATGTATTTTCTTTTGACTTTGAGCACACTTTCTTGCTTTCTGATCATTTGAAAATGGTTGTGTATTTCTTAAATGTACATGTTTTTACTTCCTTGCTTTCTGATTATTTGATAAAAGGTTGTGTATTACTTAAATGTACATGTTCTTCATGTTGAAATGTGAAATGTTTTTTCAAATTTGTACCATAAAAATGTATGTATTTTTCTTGAAGGCATTACCCCAGACACTTTCATGAGACAATATTTTTCATGTTCACGTACCTACTCCATTAAGCCTGTTATCATAATTACATGTTTTTGAAAAACAGTTTGTGAAATTTCAAAGATACAGAATGTTTGGTTGTTGACATGGTGCTGAGTATTCGTCACTGGAGATGTCTAGATAAATCATTATATTTTGTAGAAATTGTCAAAGAATTCTTAATATTTCCTCCATGACAATTACAATAATCTGCATATTTGGTGTATGAGTTGTTTTATATCGATCATCAATACTATAACCACCCACAGGCTTACATTATTATCCCAATATATTAACTGCATTAAAATATTTGTTCAGATAGCTTGTTTTATATTAATCATGTCAGTGAATGGTACTTGCTGGCTTTAGTTTCATGTAGCAGGTAGAACATTTGAATGGCACCCAATGTATCTGCAGGCAGAGTAAGCTGGTTCCCGACTCCCTTTGCGCGCGCTAACGTTCGACAAAGCTATGCGAGACGGGGCCCAGCTTACAGGCAGAGCTCCAGCTAAGATTTAGCTCATGTGGGTACTGTACCCACTGTATTTTTTTGGAGTGGGTATTATGAGTGTTGAGTGGGTATTTCATTTTCCATTACCCACTGCTTTCAAACATGTGCTTATTTCAGTCATATTTCTCACCTAAGTATTATGTCATTGAGTAAGTTTACTAAGTAGGTATGTTCTGCCTTATGTCATACCAGGGGCGGTGGGGTAGCCTAGTGGTTAAAGCGTTGACTCATGCCGAAGACCCGGGTTCGAATCCCCATTTGGGTACAATGAGTGAAGCCCATTTCTGGTGTCCCCCGCCGTGATGTTGCTGGAATATTGCTAAAAGCGGCGTAAAACCAAACTCAGTTAGTCAGTTATGTCATACCTAATCAAAACCAACTTAAATATAATGGAAATCACTCATCCTATACTGACAGTACAACACTTGCCCTATACTAACAGTACGACTTGATAGCAATCAATGTCATTTTCATACCCAAGCGAATTTTATACATATATTCCGTACGCACTTGTTTTAAACTTTTTGCGTATCTAACATTTTAAATGCGTAATGGTACGCAACAATTATTTTTCAATGCGTAAATGGGAATTTTCTATGCGTATTTAACCCGGATATGCAGCTTATCTGGGCCTCTTTCTCCAGGGCCTGCATTTCAGTAATCTGCACAAAGACCAGGATCCATTGCTGTCCTTGTGGTTCAAGCGTTCGCCCGTCACACTGAAGACCTGGGTTCAATTCCCTACATGGGTACAATGTGTGAAGCCCATTTCTGGTGTAACTTAACCTCATATTGCTGGAATAAAAGCTAAAAGCGGTGTAGAACCAAACTCGCTCTTTCTCAAATCACCCTCCCTTGAGTTCCATTAACCAGTCAGATTTGCTAAACTTTAATCTAAAGCACACACCATAATGTGAGTTAATAAACAAGCCCCAGCATTGGGATGGCAATATTCTTTTAATCACGGCAGAAATGGGCTTCCCACAATGTACCCATGTGGGGAATCAAACCTGGTCTCCGCCGTGACGTGTGAACGCTTTAACCACTAGGCTACTCCATCGCACCAGCATACCAATAGAGAGCCCTAGACACTATTTCATAGATTTCATCACAATGTTTGATTGGTCAAGGCGCTTTAAGGTTGAAAGAACCATGAGAATGAATCCAGGGGTTAGTGTAGGTGTACGGAAATCAGGGCTCCAGATAAGGGCCGTATCGGCATATGTACGGATAAAAAATATGCACGATACGATAGGAAATATTTTGGAAAACGTAGCAGGTACTCACCACAGCAATAGTGTACGGTCTTAGAATCATTTACAGTCATATTTATCTGAAAAAGTATTGTTTTATTGTTTATTGATCTGTTTACACAAGAATAGCAATGTTGTGCATGTATGAAACGAAACACAAGATTACTGATACTCCATTAATTTCCATTCAGTACTCTAAATGTACTCTTAAGGTTTTCCAGTACTCTTATATTGAAAAAATAAGGAGTATGTACTCCTGATGTTGAAAAATAAAATGGAGCCCTGCCGAAATGCTAGTCCAGATGTACAGGGTGTTGAAATGGCACTATCTAATATGATAATTAGCTACATGTGTTTCAAGTATAACCTATGTAATTCTTGCCATGATTTATTGCCTGCCACTTGTAGGGACTGTCCACTCGGTATTTGGAGTTGGATTTTAAGTGTTTGTGCCAGGGAAGAAATGTAATTTTGTCTCATTTTTTTAAAACAGAAATAGAATTGTTTGTAGGGTTAATTGTATTGACCAAAAGGGATTGAAAGGAATTGTTTAGGCTCCTTTCAAATATGAAATTGGTTGTTTCGAAGCTCTGGAAATTCTCTGTCAATATTCTTAGGTTTCATCCAAGGATATTATCAGTGCTGGAGCCATTGATCAAAATATTCAGTCAGTTGATCAGCGATTATTGATGGGCTCCAGAGACTTACCGATATTAAAAAAAACAACAGCAATTTAAATTTTAGGAAGTATGTTTCTGAATGTTGTTTATTACATCAAGACATAAACTGATGCAGTTTCTGCAAGGTAAACAACATTGTTTGTCATTGTATTCAGCTCATACAGTTTAATGCTCTCACTATCGACCACTGAAATGGTCAACTTAAGATGCCATTGTAAGCACCCCATGCAGTTCATTTGACTCTGCCGAACACCAATCTGGTCGAGTTAGCACATGATCGTACACATATCACACTTCACCAATTTATGCCTCTGGAAGATGCTGCAAACAACTTTATGACTGAGTTCCAAGATCCAAGATGAGCAAAGATTGAACAATTGACTCTTATATATCTTGACATGTGTGTCTCAACACGAAATTTCCTCCATCTTGGTTGTAGTATAAATGGGCTCTTGTTCCTTTGCACAATGTTATGATTGCGTCCTGTAATACAGTGAGTTTTGCTGTGAGGTTTACAATTACAATTGATTATTGATCGATTACTGAGTGAGTGAGTATGGTTTTACACCGCTTCTGGCAATATTCCAGCAATATATCGCAGTGGGGAGGACACCTGAAATTGGCTTCGCACATTGTACCCGTGCAGAGAATCGAACCCGGTCTTCGAACGCTTTTACCACTTGGCGTCCCCACTGTACCTGATCACAGAGCTGCTATTATCGATTTGAATATTGTGATTGTAATAGAGGCTTGTCCAGACATGTTCAGTTCTGGAGCTCCACAAGAATCATGTTTGTATGACAATTTCAGCTGCATTAGAACTGCGAGAGATGTTTCACCATTTTAAATTTTAAAAGTCCATTTTCTACATTCCTTAATTTCTACATTCCAACAGTCATTAACTTGATATTTAGTGTTAGCTCGCCTGATAAAATCAAGTGAGTTTATAGTATGGCCTGTTTGTCCATAAAAATATCTTGCAGACATTATTGATGTTTCATCTGGCTCGGACAAAGGTTTCAAGCCCCAGTTAAAGCTGGCTGGCACTACTAAGAGGCCAGACTCTTTATGTTGAATGAAGTTAAAAATGTGTCCTGTATTACGACCATTACAAGACAAAGCTGCAGTGTGTTGTACATTTGTCTGATGTTTGTAATGATTCATATAACATTGTGGTGGGCTAGTGGTTAAAGCGTCCGCTCATCTGCCAAAAGACTCGGGTTCGATTCCCCACATGGATACAATCTGTGAAGCCCCTATCTGCTATATTACTAAAAGCATTGTAAAAGTATACTCAATCACTCATCCACTGACCAATGTAGAGTAATAATGGTACTTTCTTTGAGGGGCAGTGGGTAGCCTAGTGGATAAAGCTTTCACTCATCACGCCAAAGACCTGGGTTTGATTCCCCACATGGGTACAATGTGTGAAGCCCACTTCTGATGTCCCCTGTCGTGATATTGCTGGAATATTGCTAAGAGTGGTGTTGAACTAAACTCACTCACTCACCCCTCCCTCTCCTATAACATTCATTGCGTATATAACACATGTAGGTGTGCAGCAATGATCTAGTTCACGACTTTGCTAGGGTTTCTGATGAACTATGAAATGAAGACATGGCATATTTCTTAAGACAATGTCAGATGTTTTGGTCATTCTTTACATTGAATATACTTACATATCAAGGCTGACAGAGACTGTTTTAATGTTTGCCTTTGTTGACATTGATATTGACTTTCTTATTTACTTGTGTATAGGTGAACTATAGTGCTTGTGACACATTTGTATTAAATTCTCCATGGTGATGTTTTCATAATGTAATTCTCTGAATAAAATCAAATTAAAACATCGCAAATTAATGGGTTTTTCAGCTAACCTGGACCGGATATCAGAGAGAGCTTGGGGAAGTGTGTAGCCCAGTAGTTAAAGCACCCGCTTGTCACCCCTAACCCTGGGTTTGATTCCCCACCTGGAATTTTGCTGAGTGCAGCATAAAACTAAACTCACTCACTCAAAGAGAAAATACGGTTATTAACAAACTTCTAAAAATGATGAATCGTTTTTCATAGTGTGTGAGTGAGCTGAGTTTTACACCGCACTCAGCATTATTCCAGCTATATGGCGGCGGTCTGTAAATAATAGAGACTGGACCAGACAATCCATGGATCAAGAGCATGAGCATCGATCTGCGCAACTGGGATACACAGGCATGTGTCAACCCAGTCACCAAGCCTGACCACCTGATACCGTTAGTCGCCTCTTACGACAAGCATGGGTTACTGAAGACCAATTCTAACCCGGATCTTCACGGTCTTTTTTCAGAAGCAAACCCCATTTTTTGTTGGCTAGTTGTGAGTAATGTTTAATAGTATTCCGTGTGTTTGTGCAAGATTCCATGAAATTGGTATCTTTGGCTTGTTGTACAAACCAACCTTTGTGCTACTGCCTTAGCTCCATGCTCACGTATGGTAGTCGCAATCACCACAGCTAAAATCACTTTGTGAAACCGAAATCTTGTATGGACATGCCTACGTTTCAAAGCTGACACATATCTGGGGAGGTTTTTCCTATCAGAAGAAACAAACAGTCACATCATAATTAAACTTAAACAGGCATGATTAAATATTTTATGTGAACATCCTAGTCTAAACATGACCCATTGCAAACTGTCAACCTATATTTTTCGGTATGTACTTTAATGAAATGGTCATAACAAATATCCAAAAGAAATACAACTTTATATAATTTTACTTCACCCACAATTTAGGGTGGGGCAGAGACAAGAATCAGACAAAAGATATGGGCAGCCTTGTCAGTTTTCCAAAGATGTTACTGGTCAACAAATTTTAAGGAGTTACTTCCCCTGACATCAGGTTGGCTGCTGACAAAGAGTCCGGGATTATCAGGTCACACATTTAGGTGAGTGATCGAGTTTAGTTTCATGCCGCTTTAGCAATATCACGTCTGGACACCTGAAATGGGCTCACACATTGTACCAATGTAGGGGAATCAAACCCGGGTTCTTCAGCGCTTTAACCACTAGGCTACCCCCCACCAACACTGAATTATACAAACCATCTACTGACTGATGCGAGAGTGAGGGAGTGGGAGAGTTCAATTTTGAATGAGAGAGTGAGTTTAGTTTTATGCTGCAACATTCCAGCTATATGGTGACTCTGTAAATAATCAAGTCAGGACCAGACAATCCAGTGATAAACATGATCATCAATCTAACCATTTGGACTGACTAACTGAGTTTGGTTTCACGCCGCTTTGAGCAATATTCCAGCAACATCACGGCGGGGGACACCAGAAATGGGCTTCACACATTGTGCCCATGTGGGGATTCGAACCCGGGTGTTCGGCGTGACGAGCCAACGCTTTAACCATTAGGCTACCCCACCGCCCTAACTAACCATTTGGAATATGACATGGGCAGGAAACCTGTTCTGGTAAAAACATGGCTTATATCCATTGTGGGGTTATAACCAGGGTGCACTGTACTTAAATCATAAAAAATAATCTCAAAATATGACTTTCTTACCCAATATTAACCATTTGCAGAATAAAATACTGTAATGTGTATCATTTAAAAAATATGATGCAGATATGCAGTGAGGGAGCGAGTTTAGTTTTATGCAGCACTCAGCAATATTCAAGCTATATGGCGGCAGATGCAAATAACCGAGTGTGGACGAGACAATCTGGTGATCAACAGCATGAGCAAGAAGATCAACTATAGGTGAGGTGAAATTGGGTTTTACGTCGTGCTTGAGAATATTTCGCTCATATGACGACGTGCATGCGTGTGTATGTGTATGTGCGGCTGCTTGTACTAGCCCAGACTTAAGCTGGTTTTATAGTGCTAGCCCACTGAGATAAGCGCAGTGAAATAAGCGGCATGAATACCCCACTCAGACACATTATACTGACTCCGAGCCGACCAGTCCTTGTTGTACCCAGTAATGCCAAGCGCCAGGCAGGGACCAACAAGTACCATATTTTAACGTCTTTTGGTATGACGCGGTCAGGGATCGAACCCGCGACCTTCCGCTATCCGGGCGGACGCTCTAACCGCTACACCACGGAGGCGGTCTAAGATCAACTCTAACCTTCATGGTGGACCATGTCGGATTGCAGGTTAAATCAAGTCCCCCAGCAAGCTATGCTGCCCTAACAGCATGCGTATAAATCCATGGTTTCATAGAGTCCACTTAATGCTTTTAACAAAAGAGAAATCAACCACACTCTGGGATTTGCAGAGATGCCAACCCTAATTTAGCCCAATTAGTATTTTGGTCAAAAACTGATGCAAAAATTAATATTTTTGGGCCCAAATTAGTATTAACTTCTCCAAAGAATTTTCATATTAAATAAAAAATGTAAATATATAGTCCAAGACCTTGTTATTAACATTGTACTCACCTAAATCAGTAGCAACTATCCACATATAGCTTGATACTGAATAAAATGTGGTTGAAATTTATGGTGTATGGTACGAATGCTAATTGATAATTTAATGTATTATTTTTAAAAAATTGTATATATTTACTGCCATCAAAGTTGCGTATTTTGTTTTTTCGTAACGAATACAATAAAATTGTATCGGTTGGCATCTCTTGATTTGAATCGGTGATCTTGGTATACCAAAACATGTACCTGCACAATGTAAGTATCACAACCAAAGTGTGCTCCTGCATTGAGGTACAGACCTTATCATTTACAGAACAATTAAGCCACACTCTGCTATAGTCAAGCAATATGGCAGCAGTCTGTAAATATTCAAGTCTTGTTCAGACAGTCCAGTAATAACAGCATAAGCATGTATGTCATAAAGCTTCATCCGACAGTCGGTTCTGTTGGACCAGGACGGTTCATAACCTATGAGTGGGGTGGTGATGATGATTTAAGAGAGAAGAGGTAGTGGGTGTCAGCAATTTTGTACACATGAGTGAGTGAGTGAGTTTAGCTTTACGCCACACTCAGCAATATTCCAGCCATATATGACAGCGGTCTGTAAATAATCGAGTCTGGACCAGACAATCCAGTGATCAACAGCATGAGCATCGATCTGCTCAATTGGGAACCGATGACATGTGTCAACCAAGTCAGCGAACCTGACCACCCAATCCCGTTAGTCACCTTTTACGACAAGAATGGGTTGCTGAAGACCTATTCTACCCTGGATCTTCACGGGTCTTTGTACACATGTACTATGAGGGGTCAGCAATTTTGAACATAAAATTATTACAAAGTTCTGCCTAAACATTAAGGGGGTTTGTTTGTGTCATTGATTTTGTACCTGATATGCAAGGAAGGGAGGTCACTTACTTCGTACATAGATTTTAGGGGACGTCATTAAGATTGTACATGCTTCTCCATATAAAAATCATCAACCCCATTAGCCACAAATTATGAACGCTCCCTTAGGAAAGGCATGGATAGCTTATGACCAATTCTGATCCAAATCTTCACAGGAACAGAACAGTAAAACAAAACCACATTGGCCCCCTGACAATTCATTTTTTAATGTTTTTTGTACATGTCAACAGTTCACTTCTTTGCAGAAGCCGAGGACCCTGCAGGTCTCTTGATTTGAGAGGCGATGCGGTCAAGATCCCGTCGTCCCTGGGAGGTCAACTTACGGCCTCTGCAATGAAAACAATGCAGATGTCATATCATCAGTAAAAGATCAGGGTGCACTTTCATACAGATATCTTTGCTACAAGACTGACTGACTGAGTTTGGTTTTACGCCACTTTTAGCAATATTCCAGCAACATCACGGCGGGGGACACCAGAAATGGGCTTCACTCATTGTACCCATGTGGGGATTCGAACCTGGTTCCTCGGCGTGACGAGCCAACGCTTTAACCGCTAGACTACCCCACCGCCCCTCTTTGCTACACGAAAACTCCAATAGCAGTGCTAAGGTTGCTTTGTAAGCCATAGAATCTGCATGGGGATTTGGGGGGACAATAAAATCCTTGGGATCTGCATGGGACCCTCATGACCTGCTTATAAGGCATTGGGATTTTAAAGGTGAACTTGGGGACCTGCAAGGTGATCTGCTCAAGATATTGCTACATGTATTATGCATGCTTTCTTCTCACCCTGTGTTGGGGTCCTTCTCTACCAACTTGAGTCCCTCCAAGGCTTGGAGGACACGCCGAGACACTGTGGGGCTGGCACGGCAGTAGTGGCTGGGGCAAGTTCCATTGCTCATCTTACCTGTAACAAACGTCACAAATAGGAGCGAGGGATATTGATTAGTTACATACCAGCTGATGAGAAACCCATTACAGGTAACTGGTATCAACTGGCAAGATCAATGTCTGTAATCTGGCTAATAACGGCATTTTAGCAGTCAGCAATATTCCAACCATATGGCGGCAGTCTGTAAATAATCGAGTCTTGTCCAGACAATCATGTGATCAACATGAGCATCAATCTATGCAATTGGGATACGATAACATGTGTCAACCAAGTCAGTGAGTGACCACCCGATCCCGTTAATCGCTTTACGGGTAAAATATGTAAGTGCTGTATCTTTTTAGATATATATAGCACTCATTCAAACAAAATGTGTAAACCATTCAGGAGTTTAATTAAAAAATAATTATAGTGTAACTTACCTCCATATATCTTGCCCAAAGCTCCAACACCGACTGGAGCACGGATGTACAGGTGACGACAGACAGACGCTGAAATATGCCAACAGTGAAAGAGTTTATGGCAAAACCACTGTCAATGACCAACATAGACAATACTTTATCTACCAATTTACCATTGGATATCTCATGGCTAAAGTAAATAACAAGGACTTATTCAGACTCGTTCAATATTCAGCCAATTGTCTGTACAAGTTACCATGCTGTTATATGGGCTAAAAGGCTTGAGCTTACTTTTGTTTTATTTGTTTGTTGTTTGAAGCCGCACTCAACAATATTTCAGCTATGTGACAACAGACTAAATAATCAAGTCTGGACCAGACAATCAATTGATCAACAGCATGAGCATCGATCTATGCAAATGGGATCCAATGACACGTGTCGACCAAGTCTAAAAACCCGATCCCGTTAGTTGCCTCATACAACAAGCATGGGTTACTGAAGACCAATTCTAACCTGGATCATCACGGGTTTCTGAGTTTACTTAGCAAAGCAGAATTATACTCTACTCAAGCTTCGGACTAGCACTTAACTACAGGATAACTCCTTATACACCAGAACCACTAACTTTCGAGTGAGCGAGTGAGTGAGTTTAGTTTTACACCACTTTTAGCAATATTCCAGCTATATCACGAGGAGGGACACCAGAAATGGGCTTCACATATTGTACCCATGTGGGGAATCGAACCCGGGTCTTCGGCGTGACGAACGAACGAATTAACCACTACGCTACCCCACCGCCCCACTTACTTTCGAATACAAGCCAATATGTACAAGTGTAGATAATTAACAAATGTAAGTAACTGGTGCCATGGTGTATCATTCCGTTACCAAGGTTACAAAACAATCATGTGCCCTCCTCACCTGCACGGTTATAGAACCAGTCCTCATCGTAAGGTGCGAGCTCCTTGTAACGGGCAGTTTTAACAATATCGATCCAGTCTGGAACCTTCATCTTGCCTGACCTGGGGACAAAACAACAGTTATCACACCATCCACAGCAATATTCCAAACATATTCATTGCTCCAATAACCATCCCATGACCAACCTCAAGACCAATCTGTTGTAATATTAACGACACCTACAAAAATCATATATTATCATACAATGGATAGCATTCTCGGCAGGACAAAGCCAACAGATATTTTTAGTATCCGTTGGGGTCATATACAGAAATCAATGCAAAGGTCATATGTAAATTTTAGGGACTACTTGCCAAGGCTCTCTAAAAACAATATTTATTCCCAACCATATTAACCATTAAGGCTGTTATGATTCACTCGCATATTCCGTGACTCGAACCGGAGCCATCCATGAATTCATCGTTATTCGTGGTCACCAGAACCAAACATTAACGAATATTTACGATTTTTTAAAGGGAGTTTGTTTTACTTGAACCCTTATGATGCATTCCTTTTCAAAGTGAGACATGCAAGAATGGAATATGTCCTAGCCTTGCATTAGCGCAAGTCGTGTTAGTTTGCCAAGGCCGCACATGGTTCTGTCGACTATAACTACATACCAAATTTGAGTGTCACAAGATCACTGGCTATTGCTGTGACAAATCAGCACAGTCAACATGTGCGTTCCATATTGTGCATCCATCACTTTAACTACAATCTTATATTCATGAATAAACAGGGCTCGATGTAAGAGATGTTAACCTACTTGCACCAGGTGCAACCTAAGCTAAAAACCTACTTGCACCAGTCAAATTCCAGTTGCACGGCTTTTCATGCAACATGCAATGTAAGAAATATGGTATTGAATTATTTAGATGTTTTATTGAGAGTTTACCCACTCAAAACTTTAGTTGCACCAGGTGCAAGTTCAGCTAATAGCTAGATTGCACTTTGTAATATTGGGTTGCACCAGTGCAAGTAACCAAGTACTAAATCGAGCCCTGAATAAATATTCGTATTCATTACCCAATATTCGTGATACATATCATATTCACCACATAGTGCATTCGCTGCAGCTGTTAACCATCCCAAAACACCTCGCATAATAACATATTAATATAAACAAATACCATCACAAAGACACCTACAAAAATCAAGAAATTTGGACTCTGCATATCTCATTATGTGTACAAGAGATTATTTTACAGAAAAAAGCAGCCCGAAGGTGAAAATGAAACCAAGTACTGTTGTCTTAAAATGCTAGTTAATAACTAAACTATCAATTAGTGCTTGTTTTCAATAAATGCCCCCGTCAAATCTGAAAGAACTCATGGAACTTGTTCCGACAAATACAATAAACAACCAAAAAGAAGTTAAACATTAGATTCTTTCACATTATTTTACTTATTCTGTCTTGTGAGTTCAGTTTTACGCCGTACCAGCAATATTCCAGCTATATGGCAGCGGTTTGTAAATAATCAAGTCTGGACCCAACAATCCAGTGATCATCTGCATGAGCACCTTTATAGGTAATTGGGACGATGACATGTCAACTAAGTCAGCAGGTCTGACCATCCGATCCCACTAGTCGCCTCTTACGACAACCATGGGTTACTGAAGATCAATATTCTAACCCGGACCTTCACGGGTATTATTCTGTCTTCACGTGTACCATGATCATTGACTATAGTGATATGAAAGAAACTAACAATATTCAGTGAAGAAAATTAACAGTCAGGTAGTAAATGGTAGTTGCCAGCATGGCCAGGCTACATGTTACAGTTATAAATGGCCACCATTCACAATACATATCAATTTGACATTACTTTTTTAGGAAGGCAGCCAAAGCCTTGTTGAATTCCTGTGGGGCGACGTCTTTCACACTGACTCCCATCTGAAATAAAATTGAATACTGTTGTGATACTGATCCTTGCATCAAGAGTCTTGTGCTTGATAAAAATAATACATTTCATGTAACCCTGCCAACAGAATTCAGTGGTGAGTGAGCGAGGCACGTCCAGATATCAATGTGGTTATTGCCTGTCGTCATGGAAGACGGAAAGAGTTCCTTCCGTTCCCCCAACTCTAAACCTAGCCCTAACTTAAATTTTGGACTTTTAATCATTTTGTGAGTTCTCTAGTAATTGTTGTGTTAAGTTTTGTTTATAATTCTAGAATATTTATAAATATTATTTGGGATGGGGGAACGGGAGGAACTCTTACCTGGAAGACAATCAACTTAATGCAAAGCACAAATATATGCACAGCGTGCACAAATGTAGACAATGGACTCCAAAAAAATGTGTCCTAATGTACCATCAGCGCATCGATGGTAGTTATTTGTGTCTGTTATTTCATCTATCACTCAGTCATGACCACAGATTCATTCCAGTCTCTGAAGTAATTATCGGAACATACAGTACACTACACCATTTCAACATTTTACAGACCGCCTTCGTGGTGTAGTGGTTAGAGCGTCCGCCCGGAGAGCGGATGGTCGCGGGTTCGATCCTGACCACGTCACATAGAAAGACGTTAAAATATGGTACTTGTTGGTCCCTGCCTGGCGCTCGGCATTAATGGATACAACAAGAACTGGTCGGCTCAGAGTCAGTATACTGTGTCTGAATTCGTTGGTTTCACATTAATTTTCGACTCGCTGTACGCACTGGTCAACTTCTGGTTTGGTCGTATTAGCGATATTGTAAACACACTCTAAATAAATGCTGTATGAATATTATTTACGCGTGACAACTGTTCATAGTTGAGTACATACATACACTTGCCTATGCTTTTCAATAATTGATGTCCTATTTTGGTGGCATTGCATCAGAGATGTGTTTGTTTACTTGTGAGAAGGGGATGTGCAGGAAGTACTGTGGACGGGTGGTGGTGAGATGTGTTTATACAAGAGCTTGTTAACAAACGTTAAGCTATTTATTTATCTAATTCCGGTCCCTTCCATTCATAAATGAATTGAGATCATTTAAATGCGACATAAAACCATATATTTGTTTTGATTTTTGCTTTCTTTAGAGTGTGTTTACACTATCGGTAAAGCTTACGACCAAACCAGAAGTTGGCCCGTGGATATTTTTACACGCTCTGCGCATAGCGAGTCGAAAATTAATGTGAAACCAACGAATGGGGTATTCATGCTTCACTGCGGCATGAGATCTCAGTGGGCTAGCACTATAAAACCAGCTTAAGTCTGGGCTAGTACAAGCAGCCGCACACACACACACGCATGCACGTCGTCATGTGAGCGAAATATTCTCCAGCACGACGTAAAACCCAATTTCACCTCACCTTCAACATTTTACAGGACCCTCACATTACTAGCAGGGCCAAAAAATTCATTGATCGTTGTCTTTAATAGAATTATATGTTATTTTTAATATTAATATTAATCAACCAAAAACATATATCACGTGTTAACATAGATAAAAGTGCCTGGAACGATCTGAAAATACACACAAATGGAGTATGTTTCAGAAAAACTGAAAAATTTAACTTGAGAAACAAAAAATGACAAAACAGATTGAAGTATTTAACTTGAGAAACGTGATTTATATACATCCACACGATCTGCATGCATCCTTCTGTCTCAAAACTTTGTCAACATTACTGCTTTTCATACTGCTGTGAACGGGATACGGATATTTCATTTTTTCTCGAATTCGACACCCACAAGGGCCCAATAATTGCGAGATATGTATTTATATATCAATGATTTCATGTTGTACAGCAGTTAAAGTGCGAGTGGTTCCAGCACATGCTCAAAACCATCAGAAATCACGTGCTCGCTCACTCTGTCCAGGGAAACCATGAAAACACATGTCCAACATGGCGGAATCCACGCCGCATGGTTAGAATTTTTCATTTCCGTTATAATGCTTTCAAATTACATTTTACGTCTAGTGTATAACGTTATCTGATTCAATATCTTTTTATAATGTACAACAAGTGTTCGTATGTATGGAATGCCGGCAATATAGGAGATATATTTGAATTTATTTGTGCTGTTACACATTGCGCTACACACCTTGGAAAACGATGGCTGAAAAGAGAGCGATGGCAGCGCCACTGTTGTGAAGGGCAGATAACTCTAATTCTCGCCGTGAAGAGCATAGTCCCTACTGTAACCATCTGTAAAGAGGGTAATTTAAACATGAAATGGAATTCATCATTTATCGCATCATTTTGTCAAAGTGTACAAATTCTCAATTTCTAACAATACCCTCTTTTCTAGCAATATTTTTCATTATCAGTATTTCACCTACAGGGATTGGGAAAGGCGGGGTTCTGGGCCATTTTGCAAATTAGAATAAAAAATGGCCCATTAAAAATTTGAAGTTTACTATTGATACAAGGGCAGTGGCCCATAGTAAATTCAGAAAATGGCTAATAATCCTGAAAATAGCCCAAAGTTCTCCATCCCAATCTCTGCACTTCTTCTTACAATGTTCAATGTACTTTCAATAAATATGGTTCCACATCCTGGTTCCCGGGCCTCTCATTAGTTTTATAAACTAATGAGATGCCCGGGAACCAGGATGTATGGTTCCATTGAAAAAGTAGACTTTAAACATGCGTATAAATCTAAATATGAGTGATCACTAATCTTAGAAAATCATTCTTGGATACAACAGTCTCTAATTCTGGTAAATATTTATAATACATGTATTTAATTAAATATGCAGGTAAACAGAATTTTGAATCCAACTAGTAGATCTATGTGGGTTTCTCTTGTGATGTGTCTGTCGTTAATAGTCTGAATTTTAATCAATGCCTTTGATGGCATGGGGTATGAAACATAAGCGTAGAACACCCGTGCTAGGTTGGAGCCTGAAACGAGGAAGCTGGCGAAGAATATTCTGAAATCATTCCCTTCATCACCATTCGTGATCCACCCCCCGGGACAAGCCTAGAGGTTATGGCGAATGGGTGGTTGAGGTGGAATTGGGTTTAACGTCGTGCTTGAGAATATTTCGCTCATATGACGACGTGCATGCGTGTGTATGTGTATGTGCGGCTGCTTGTACTAGCCCAGACTGAAGCTGGTTTTATAGTGCTAGCCCACTGAGATACCATGCCGCAGTGAAGCATAAATACCCCACCCAGACACATTATACTGACTCCGAGTCGACCAGTCCTTGTTGTACCCATTAATGCCGAGCGCCAGGCAGGGACCAACAAGTACCATATTTTAACGTCTTTTTGGTATGACGCGGTCGGGGATCGAACCCGCGACCTTCCGCTCTCCGGGCGGACGCTCTGCACCCGGATTTATATCGTAACAGGATATAGCTATACAAGACACTAGATGATGGGGTATGTAATGAGCAGTGTGTACCCTTTTCCCGAATAACTGGATCCAATGGTCAGATTCGCGAACTTGCTTGATGCATTGTATCCCAACTAAGCATATCGATGCTCATGTGGTCAATCACTAAACAGTCCGGTCAATCACTAAACAGTCCGGTCAATCACTAAACAGTCCGGTCAATCACTAAACAGTCCGGTCAATCAGTCCGGTCAATCACTAAACAGTCCGGTCAATCACTAAACAGTCCGGTCAATCACTAAACAGTCCGGTCAATCACTAAACAGTCCGGTCAATCACTAAACAGTCCGGTCAATCACTAAACAGTCAGGTCGGTCAATCACTAAACAGTCTGGTCAATCACTAAACAGTCCGGTCAATCAGTCCGGTCAATCACTAAACAGTCCGGTCAATCACTAAACAGTCCGGTCAATCAGTCCAGTCCGGTCAATCACTAAACAGTCCGGTCAATCACTAAACAGTCCGGTCAATCAATCAGTCCGGTCAATCACTAACAGTCCGGTCAATCACTAAACAGTCCGGTCAATCACTAAAGTCGGTCCGGTCAATCACCGGTCAATCACTAAACAGTCCGGTCAATCACTAAACAGTCCGGTCAATCACTCCGGTCAATCACATCAGTCCGGTCAATCACTAAACAGTCCGGTCAATCACTAAACAGTCCGGTCAATCACTAAACAGTCCGGTCAATCACTAAACAGTCCGGTCAATCACTAAACAGTCCGATCAATCAGTCCGGTCAATCACTAAAATCAGTCCAATCACTAAACAATCACTAAACAGTCCGGTCAATCACTAAACAGTCCGGTCAATCAGTCCGGTCAATCACAACAGTCCGGTCAATCACTAAACAGTCCGGTCAATCACTAAACAGTCCGGTCAATCACTAAACAGTCCGGTCAATCACTAACAGTCCGGTCAATCACTAAACAGTCCGGTCGGTCAATCACTAACAGTCCGGTCGGTCAATCACTAAACAGTCCGGTCAATCAGTTCAATCAATCACTAAACAGTCCGGTCAATCACTAAACAGTCCGGTCAATCACTAAACAGTCCGGTCAATCACTAAACAGTCCGGTCGGTCAATCACTAAACAGTCCGGTCGGTCAATCACTAAACAGTCCGGTCAATCACTAAACAGTCCGGTCAATCAGTCCGGTCAATCACTAAACAGTCCGGTCAATCACTAAACAGTCCGGTCAATCACTAAACAGTCCGGTCAATCACTAACAGTCCGGTCAATCACTAAACAGTCCGGTCAATCACTAAACAGTCCGGTCAATCACTAACAGTCCGGTCAATCACTAAACAGTCCGGTCAATCAGTCCGGTCAATCACTAAACAGTCCGGTCAATCACTAAACAGTCCGGTCAATCACTAAACAGTCCGGTCAATCAGTCCGGTCAATCACTAAACAGTCCGGTCAATCACTAAACAGTCCGGTCAATCACTAAACAGTCCGGTCAATCACTAAACAGTCCGGTCAATCACTAACAGTCCGGTCAATCACTAAACAGTCCGGTCAATCACTAAACAGTCCGGTCAATCACTAACAGTCCGGTCAATCACTAAACAGTCCGGTCAATCAGTCCGGTCAATCACAACAGTCCGGTCAATCACTAAACAGTCCGGTCAATCACTAAACAGTCCGGTCAATCACTAAACAGTCCGGTCAGTCACTAAACAGTCCGCTCCAAACTCGAACATTTACACATCGTCGTCAAACAGCTGGAATGTTTTTCCGAGTTGTTTTTAAAACAAATATAAAAAAACAACATCCGCTTCTTATCCCCCACCCACCACCCCATATGGCCAGACACGCTGACTTGTCATCGTATCCCAATTTTGCTGAGTGCGGCGTAAAACTAAACTCACTCACTCCATCCCACCTCCGGGCAACTCAGCCTACAGTATCTAAACTAACATCTAGTCTCTGAAGTAATTTACAGAAAAATCGTTTTGTAAATTATATTGATGAAATACTGATGAAATATAAATAAAACATCATGGCGGGGAACACCATAAATGGCGTACATGTGTATTGAGACTTTCTTCATTTTCTGACTGTGGTACATCGTGTAATCTAGACCTGCCACATATTGTAAACTTGCACCACATATTGTAAACTTGCAGGGGTTGTACTGGGTATAATTGTTTCAAGGTCTGTATGACACACTCTTGTATATCCAACAGTTTCTCTTCGGATTCATGCCACAGCTGTAAGAATCAACTGAAACGTACATAAAATATTTACGCAACATCATTACAATATTTATTGTATTCAATTTATTTTCCTCCCAGCATCAGCGTGAGTTGTGCCTCAGGCCGCATCTAACAGCAAGGCAGTTGTCTGCTAAATGTGGGATGAAACCCCGAAGTCATGCGGAGAGTCATGTATGTTACTGCGGTGACTCCCAAGAGCATGTCCGGAGAGCGGAAGGTCGTGGGTTCGATCCCCGACCGCGTCATACCAAAAGACGTTAAAATATGGTATTTGTTGGTCCCTGCCTGGCGCTCGGCATTAATGGGTACCACAAGGACTGGTCGGCTCGGAGTCAGTATAATGTGTCTGAGTGGGATATTCATGCTTCACTGCGGCATGGTATCTCAGTGGGCTAGCACTATAAAACCAGCTTAATTTTAAAACGACGTTAAACCCAATTTCACCTCACCTCACCTCAAGAGCATGTCTATGGTGCTGACAGACCAACAAACATTCATCAGGGCGAACCGGGCTTCGAACCAATAACCATAGTTTTTCAGCATTCACGATGAACGCAACTCTACACACCGAACTGTGGCAATGTGGACGAGAGGTCATCTGCTACCCAAGTCAGACCCGGGAGGGAGTAGTTCTACATATGAGCAATACATTTGTGAAGATCCAAGTTAGAATTGGTCTTCAGTAACCCATGCTTGTCGTGAGAGGCGACTAACAGGATCGCGTGGTCAGGCTCGCTGACTTGGTTGCCTCATGTCATCGGTTCCCCATTGCGTAGATCGGTGCTCATGCTGTTGATCACTTGATTGTCTGGTCTAGACTCGATTATTTACAGACCGCCGCCATAAAGCTGGAATATTGCTGAGTTCGGCGTAAAACTAAACTCACTCACTCACTTGGTCGATCTCGATTGCGTGTCACGGTATCCCGTGGATGCGAGACGTTGTTCACCAAGTCAATCACTGGTTCTCCTGTCATATTGAGTGAGTATGATTTTACGCCGCTTTTAGAAATATTTCAGCAATATCACGGCGGGAGACACCAGAAATGGGCTTCACACATTGTACCCATGTGGGGAATCGAACCCGGGTCTTCGGCGTGACGAGCGAACGCTTTAACCACTAGGCTACCCCACCGCCCCATTCTCCTGTCATAGCACTAGAATATTGCACCGAGTTATCTATAAATAAATGTTAAATCTTTAAACCCTCGCAAACGCCGGATCGTAAGAAAGAAATTGCCTGGATTATATTTTATTAGAATTTTCCAAATCTGCAAAGATTTCTTCGGAATTCAAGACTTTGCTGCATCAATTTATATTTGAATGTGATGAGAAATTACTCTAGGATCCTGTCTCAATGGAGACTGTACATGCAATGTAATGTGTTTGCTCTCAAGATTCGAAATTGTATTAGACAGGGAGTTTTTTTATTAAAAGAGGTGAAAAATAAACGCTCTCCCTTAAAAGACATTTCTCTCTAGGCCCAGACGTTTTTCTTTCTATTTCTTTACGCGAAACCTTTTCTCGGGCGGTCGTGGCCCGTACACCAAAATCAAGTGAATTATGTTAATCAACTCTGAGTTTGATTTGAATTGGTGGATGCTGAAAACAATCTTGGTCTTGTAATCCCGCTTTTATTTTTCTTCTGAGTTTTCAATTTTCAAGGTCACTGGTGTTCGTAAGACAAATCCAGTCTAAGGTCTTGATACATGACTGTCCCCGAAACTTGACAGGTAATTGACAGCCGTCTTTGTGACGAATGGACAATCGCCTCTGATAACAATCAAACGAAACAGATTTCAAGTGATGAAAAGGGGCGGTGGGGTAGTCTAGTGGTTAAAGCGTTGGTTCGTCACGCCGAAGACCCGGGTTCGAATCCCCACATGGGTACAATGAGTGAAGCCCTTATCTGGTGTCCCCCGCCGTGATATTGCTGGAATATTGCTAAAAGCGGCGTAAAACCAAACCCAGTCAGTCAGTCAGTCAAGTTATGAAAAGGTGAGGTACTGCACAGATAGTATTTCACCGGATGTAATCATCGGGGGGACGGGGGACACCAGAAATGGGCTTCACACATTGTACTCATGTGGGAAATCGAACCCGGGTCTTCAGCGCGACACGCGAACGCATTAACCACTTGGCTACCCCACCGTCCCTGTAATCTGTAACATAATATAATGAAGATAAGGGGATTAACTGGGTATGCTTAGAATCAGAACCAAAAAAATCGAAATGAGACAGTTAACAAATCGCCAAAATCGCTTTAGTGTAATCCAAACCATACTTTTAATCCATAAGCCGGTTACGTGCCTGATAAAATTAAGCCCCCAACCACGCACTTAATGGCACTAAAAGAACTCCCTCGAGTTTGACCCGAACGTATTTTTGCTTTATAATTACTCTGATACAAATATTGCAATTATTAAGTGTCGTTTCATATTAAAACCACGATGCGGTGTTGTATCTTCAAACCTGAACGTTGCCTATTTCAAATTGATCAGCATTCAAGCTGTGTTCAACACTGAAACTCTATACCCAGTGCACCAAGAGCTAGAAAAGAGCGCTCATTTATCACTTGATTTTTTTTACTATTGATATCTGATAAAAATCAAGATCAACTGCAGCGATAAGGAAATGAATGTTCACCTTGACATTGATTAATATTTCTTTGGTTTTGTGTGCCTCGCGAAATCGCTGAGTTTAGTTTGACGGACGTTTCAGATTTCTACAAACATGGGGTGCGGGTTCTAGAGCGCTGCCATAGCAACCACGGGGCGCGCGCTCCTCTGTGACGTCATGCCATTGTTGACACCAGAACAGAAGGGCAAAGGCGATGGGAAAGGGATGATGGGTGGCAGCGTGAATGCGTGATGTTGTAAAGTTTGGTTCAACATGTGGAATAAAATCAGCGGTTCTACCGCGGAGAAGCCGGTCACCTACCCAGAATGGTAAGAGATTATTATATTAAATTATTCTCATTGTAAATTTATCATTTCTTCGGATCCTGAAATTCGCCATGTCATGCCTGAAAGCATAAGTTCCTGTTAATGAAAATATTTATAGATTGATAACAAATAGTTATAATAATCAAATTATGTAATATTGTCAAAATTATCATATTTAATAATATTAACAAATAATAATAACAATAACATTAATAACGGTCAAAAGCAGTAATAATAATTTTCATATAATGTAACAATATACTTATTTTCATATTAATAATTATCTACAAATGACGATGTTCTCTTACAAACTGAGATAGGCCTGGTTATTACAGAAAATGTACATTAAAACTGTAATTAACTTGAGTTAAATTTATGAGACGAGCATTGTGTAAACAATATAATTCATTAAAGTTAAATATGAATTGATGTAAGTGAGAGTATGGCTATGAATGAGTTAACGAAAAGAGGATGGATAAATGAATGAATACAGACAAAAAAATCAATGAATGATGGACAGACGACGAACGCAAGGATAGACTGATCAGCAAACAGAAGAATCAATCAATCAACCAATCAATCAATCGTTATCAATGCTCATGAAGGAATGATCACGATTGAGAGTTAGCTTATACGTAACGATATCAATGGCCACATGCAAAAGGTATCAAATTACTGAAATTCCGTTAGAGAGTACTGAGAGCCCATTTAAAATTCTCTTTATTTTCTCTTCTTTTCATAGTTTCTGTTGTACTAAAGATCGATTTAAATGGATTTCTCGATATTTATTTTTGTATCAATAATAATAAACAAATATACTTTCATAATTTCAGTTTTGAGCTCTTCGCGTGATTATTGTGAATTGTCCGTATACTTTCATGATCAATAACATTTGTACACCAGTAAAAGGCGACCAAGCGGATCGGGTGGTCAGTTAACTTGACTACCGTCTTACTTTGAGTATTGAGGCTTGCCGTAAACCAACCAACAAACTTGAAAGGAAAAGGGTGCGACTTTCCTTTTGTCCCTAATACGAATGAAATATTCTCTTTTGCAAATTGTTCCTTTTGTTGTATGAGCGTGAAAAATATTGATTAATCCGTAGAACTTGCAAGGGCATCTCATCAAATCATTATTAATATCTGTTATCAATATATTCACATTCCGTTAGGTTTGCCTTTGATACAAACTTATGTCGTGCTTGGCTAGGGACCTTTTCAAAAGTTAAGTGTCAGAAGTAAATGTTATTCCGGTGTCGGTGCAGTAGTTGTGGCTATGTGCGTTGGTGTGGGTGTTGATGAGGGTGTCGGGGGCAGGGAGGGGGATGAACAAGTACTTTTTAATGTTAAGGGTATTTACGTCTCTCAACTGTCTTATCCTATGTGGACCTTTTGAACTGCCCCCTCCGTTTCTCCAGTTCATCAAATCACTACATACGCCAATATGAGACTTAATAAATACTTTGTCCGTATGTAATCTAGCTTAATTCATATAATGATCGCTTAGTGCATTGTGAGACTATATTCAACAGAAGCTTTGATCCGCAAAAGTGTTGTGGATTAATCACGGGGGTCCCAGGCTGTTGTGCCAAAGCAAACGCGAGTTGGTTTTGATAGGTTGACGGAACCTTCCGACAGAGACATAAAGTCTTTATTAGACCACTGACTTCAAAGACTGCCAAAAGGAAGGATTTGTTTCAATTACCTTTGAATTGTTGCTAATATACTCTCAGCGAAGTCGTCGCTTTATGGAAGGGCGCTTTAGCGTAGTCGTTTTTCCGTTTTTAGAAATAGTAAGCACTACCACGGTAGAGGACACCAGAAATGGGCTTGACTCATTGTACCCACGTGAAGAATCGTATCAGGTCTTCTGTGTGACATTTTACCGACAAGACTATATATCAACATGGGGTACAGATACAAAGTGCAATATCTTGATAATAAGTCTAGGATGTCGATAGGAAGTAAAGGTATTGACGTAAAATTGAAGTATTGACATTTACTACAATATATTGATATAAAATGCAACATGCATGTTTGAGGCTAATTATATAAATTGAAGGGTATTGATATAAAGCTCATTGCATTCATATGAATTTCACAATGTTGATATAAAGACCTTGATATTGATATAAAGGGCAAGGCAGTGAGTGAGTGAGTGAGTGTAGTTTTACGCCGCACTCAGCAATATTCCAGCCATATGGCGGCGGTCTGTAAATAATCGAGTCTGGGCCATGAGCATCGGTCTGCGCTATTGGGAACCGATGACATGTGTCAACCAAGTCAGCGAACCTGACCACCCGATCCCGTTAGTCGCCTCGACATGAAGCGCGGGGTATTAACATATCGTGCAAGATGTTGATATAAAGTGCAATATATTGATATAGAATAGAGGGTATATAAGGTGCATTATGTTGACATAAAGGTCAGGGTACTGATGTACAGTGCAAGATCTTGATAGAAAGTGCAATATATTAAGGTATACTGAAATGGCTTTACTGTCAGAGAAAAATGTTGTTATCTTGTTAACATCGAGCCTTACCTCCCAAACCACTGTACTCCTCGTACCAGCACACGGACCTGACACCACCAAGACATATGTAAGTGAGTGAGGGAGGGATTTGGGTTTAACGCCACTGAACAATATTCCAGCTACATCACGGCGCTCAGCTCACGGTGGATAGAAAACCCGGAAGTGATGCAGATCTAAGGCATTTTTACAGGCGCCGGGTAGCCCAGTGGTTAAAGCGTTCGCTCGTTACGCTGAAGACCCGGGTTTGATTCCCCACATGGTTACATTGTGTGAAGACCATTTCTGGGTCCCCGTGATATTGCTGGAATATTGCTTGAAAAGCGGCGTAAAATCCTACTCACTCACTCTCAGGCGTCTCCTCCAGTGAAACTCGCGAGAAAGGGTATGGTTCAAATTTAACCGATTCATTTTAGAAGTGAACTGGTATTCCAACCACTGTGTTGTAACGCTACTAATGTAGTGTTTATACGAGCGTTCAACAAACCTCATCCATACTGATGGTCAAACCAAACCAGGGAACGGTGGGGTCACAGGGGTTTGTAACGCTAAAAACTGCCATCAAGGTATATACTGTCACTGAGTACTATTATAAGACCCCCGTCAGTGACAGTATATACCTTGATGGCAGTTTTTAGCGTTACAAGCCACTGTGATGCTCGCGTCATTAAAATGCATCTGTATGATCGTCTTCTGTCGAACTTCATTTGCAACCCAGTACGTAAGGCACGTGAGAAATGTCGTTATATTCGAGGAATTACCCTAGCAATTTCAAAACACCGTCAGTTGAATATTGTTACAGAAATAGCTGATATATTTTTTGTTTGCACCCGTGTAATTCGGGTGGCTCTGGCCGTGGTTACAAAGCTCGGTGTTATCAAGGAAAGCGTTGTTCGGGGGAACCAGGACTCGGTTAACCTTGGGCGATAAGAACCTTCCGGTCGAAGCACAGTCTGTCCGCCGCGCGGAGGACTCATTGAACACTGCCTGAACTGTTTTCAGTAAGTGTGGATTTATGCCGCTTCGTGCAATATTCCGTCAATGGTGTTGAGCTGAAATTGGGCTTAAGATCATGTTCAAGAGTGAGTGAGTTTTTGCGCAACATTCCAGCAACATTACTTTTGACACAGGCAAACTGTAGCGCAAATGGGGTTGCGCAACAGAGAGAAAATGACCAGTCTTCTTATATGCGAGCGCGAGCATGTAAGAAGACTGGTCATTTTCTCTCTATTGCGCAACCATATTTGCGCTACAATTTGCCCGTGCTGTGGACACCAGCAATGAGCTTCACGCATTGTACCCATGTGGGGAATCAAATCCGGGTCTTCGTCGTGACGAGCGGACTCTTTAACCAGCCAACCGAAACGTGAGCAGTTGAGACATAGAGGATGACCCAAGGGACGTAACTCTAGACAGCTAATTGCGGCGCCTGTGTGATTTGAGTGTGTATGTGAAAGAATGCGTGTAGGTGATTGGTTGAGCTTTGGAGCTATTATGCAAATATGACTGAGAACTGTTCACGCTGTTTTCCAAGTACACAGCAATATTTCACGATAATAATCCTCACGTATGTTACTAAACCCAACACGCCCTAGAAGATCAGACTGTAACACTCCGCCCACTGCCCCGCTGGTTAGTTGTGTTCAGGTGATAGAAAAAATCAGAAAAAAACCCTGATCTATTGATCTAGGTAATCTCTCAGTGTGTGAACACAGATTGACAATCCGACGTTTCTAAACAGTTATCATAGTCGTTGAAATACACGCCCTTTACGGTTCAGACGTTGACAGGGTGACTCTATCGCATAACGTATTTTGTATAGGAAGGGGCCGTAGTTATAAAACTTTTCAGAATTTTAATAGGAATGCTCTTCACTGGAAAGTTCTTACAATTAACAGTTACACTTAGAAGTGTACTTATATTGGCTCTGAGAGTAACTCTTAGCTGAGAGTAAAGTGAAACTCTTAGAGTAGCGCTTAGCTGAGAGCAAAGCGAAACTCTGAGAGTAACTCTTAGCTACGAACAAAGTGAACCTCTGAGAGTAACTCTTAGCTGAGCACAAAGTGGCGCTCTGAGACTAACTCTTAGCTGAGCACAAAGTGAAACTCTGAGAGTAACTCTTAGCCACGAGCAAAGTGAAACTCTGAGAGCAAATTGAAACTCTGAGATTAACTCTTAGCTACGAGCAAAGTGAAACGGAGAGAGTCACTCTTAGATAAGACCAAAGTGAAACTCTGAGAGTGACTCTTAGCTGAGCACAAAGTGAAACTCTGAGATTAACTCTTAGTTAAGAGCAAAGTGAAACTCTGAGATTAACTCTTAGTTAAGAGCAAAATGAAACTCTGAGAGTAACTCTTAGATGAGGGCAAAAGTGAAAATCTGAGAGTAAGTGAATGAGTTTAGTTTTACGCCGCTTTTAGCAATATTCCAGACGTATCACGACGAGGGACACCAGAAATGGGCTTCACACATGTGGGGAATCGAACTCGGGTCTTCAGCGTGACGAGTTTAAACCAGGCCACTCCACCGGCCCCATTTCGGAAGGAAACGCAAACGTGAGTCAGTTAGGTTTAACGTCGACTGAACAATATTTCCTGAAGTTGTGATAAAAAACGACGCGATCAAGGTAGTTGGCGCGAACCGAGAACATATTGTTGGTATTTTGAACCCACAATCGCAGGTTTCTGGCACGCCCAAGGGCCGCAACTCTGCACGGCGAATAGTGTCGCCTTGGACAACTATCCACCCTTTTCTGTTTTAAGGTAAATATTTTTACGGCCACTGCTAGAAAACGTTTTGTCTCGGTCAAATGTTCGATCCCAGATTGTTAACAGCGTAGCACTGGAAACGGCGCCTTGCATTAAACCCTACTTTGCTCAATCAATGTTTAACGTCCCGAATTGTTCGCCACTGTCTAACGAAGACAGATTTATAATCTATGGACGGTACGGGCGCATTAATGCCATTATTACGTACGCTGATCGACGTATGTGTCGGCATTCATTAAACGTTCTGTGTGATCTACTAAACTAGCAAAGGCCATTTGTGTTTCTTCTGATATTGAGTTCTCGTCCTCAGCGATCATGTGGCAATAAATCACCTCTTAATAAACCATTATACTCAGTAATAACAACCTTATTGAAAGTGGGTGTGCGTATTTGCTATAAACAAACGCAGTTATGCTGTTGAGGGAAATCTTAAAGGCAGCGTTCGAGACGGGCGATTAAGGACAAAGCGTTATTGATAAATAGTTGAGGGAGTTGCTCTTGTGAATAGTGGAATGTTAACATATTCGAGTTATAAGTAACGCATTCGGATCTTCTCGGTGTATTTCGCCACCTCCACGTAATACCTTCGACAAATTAAAGTGTTTTTAAATGATTCATCTGTAAACCGTATACCTGTCTGACCATTCCATGATAGTTCTTAGAATATGATGGTTGATATGATAGAAGCATATTTTTATTCGCACAGAAATGAGGTATACAATTTCATATCTGGTTGGACCCGTGAAGATCCGGGTTAGAATTGGTCTTCAGCAACCCATTCTTGTCGTAAGAGGCGATTAATGGGATCGGGTATTCAGGCTTGCTGACTTTGTTGACATATGTAATCGTATCCCAGTTGCATAGATCTATGTTCATGATGTTGATCACTGGATTGTCTGGTCCAGACTCGATTATTTACAGACCGCCGCCATATAGCTGGAATATTGCGGAGTGCGGCGTAAAACAACACACCAACCAATATCAGGTTGTGTATAAAGGCCAAACCTATGTTATGTTTTGTGATAGTCACGTGAACTAGTGAAACGTGTTTCGGAATGGATTGCTTTTAGCAATATTCCAGCAATATCACGGCGGGGGACACCAGAAAAGGGCTTCACACATTGCACACATATGGAGGAATCGAACCCGTGTCTTCAGCGTGACGAGCGAACGCTTTAACCACTAGGCTACCCTACCGCTGGTGTAATATTCAAGATGCTAGAGGACACAGTAAATAATCGAGAAAATCCAGTGATTGACATCATGAGCATCAATGAACGCATTTGGGATTCGATGGCATGCAATCTGCTAAGTCACCGGGTCTGACCTCCAGGGCTGCTGGGGTCCAGTCTCAACTAGAATTCCCACGGGGAGGGCGCCTTTAAGATGAAAAAACATTACAGGCTTCAAAGTAGTGTATATATATCACATCACCAACGTGCGTATGGATTACTCCCCCATTCAACTGTCAATTAACCTGTAAATATCGACCGCTGTCAAGACCCGCAATGCTATTTACTTGACGAGTACTTCAATAATGTTATTGGATCTGACATTCGAGAAAATCCCATCAATATTTATGTCGGGTTCAGACATGGGAGTAAATACTCTTAAAACATTCTTGTCGTGTGGATTAAATTTGAAATTTGGTTTGGGTGAGTTCAAATTCAAAGTCGCATCGACAATATCACGGTCTTTAGGCGAGAGTCCGGATTAGAAGTAGTGGCTGGGTGGTTCGTATGATGGACAACGTTGATGTACAGGGTTGGTTATTAGTTTCCAACAGGATCCCTTCTCACCTCCACCCTAATGAAAATAGTTCAACTCAGGTCAAGAACGATCGGACAGGTCCACATTCCTTCAGTTCTGTTCTCGACACTAACTACTATTGTCATCTTTTTCCCACTCTCCTCCTTCTTCCCCTAATTCTTCTTCTCATCCTTTTCAGCACCCCTTCTCCTCCTCTTTGTCTTCTCTTCTTCTTCGCCTCCTCTCCTCCAATTTCTTCTTCGACTCCCCTGTCTGCACTTTCTCTTCCTCTTCCTCTTCGTGTCTTCTTCTTCTCCTCCTATTTCTTCTTGTGTGCACTTCCTTCTCCTTTCCTTCTTCTCCTCCTCCTATTTGTCCTCTTTTTTTCTCTCCCTAAATTTTTCTGCTGCAATTTCAGCACATCCACCTCTTCTACTTCTTCACCGTCTCCTGGTTTTTCTGACCCGTGAAGATCCGGGTTAGAAAATTAATCTTCGGTAAACCATGCTTGTCGTAAAAGGCGACTAACGAGACCGGGTGGTCAGGCTCACTGACTTGGTTGACACATGTCATCGTATCCCAATAGCGCAGATCTATGCCCATGCTGTTTATCACTGGATTATCTGGTCCAGACTCGATTATTTACAGACCGCCACGATATAGCTGGAATATTGCTGAGTGCGGCTTAAAACTAAACTCACTCACTCACTCCTAGTTTTTCTCTCTTTTCTGCAAACCTTCCTTCTGTCCCCTTCGTCTCCTCCTCTTCTTCGACTCTTCCTCTTCTTCGTCTCCTCCTCTTCTTCGACTCTTCCTCTTCTTCGTCTCCTCCTCTTCTTCGACTCCTCCTCTTCTTCGACTCTCCTCCTCTTCTTCGACTCCTCCTCTTCTTCGACTCCTCCTCTTCTTCGTCTCCTCCTCTTCTTCGACTCCTCCTCTCTTCGACTCCTCCTCTTCTTCGACTCCTCCTCTTCTTCGACTCCTCTTCTTCGACTCCTCCTCTTCTTCGACTCCTCCTCTTCTTCGTCTCTTCTCCTCCTCCTCTTTCGACTCCTCCTCTTCTTCGACTCCTCCTCTTCTTCGTCTCCTCCTCTTCTTCGACTCCTCCTCTTCTTCGTCTCCTCTTCTTCTTCGTCTCCTCCTCTTCTTCGTCTCCTCCTCTTCTTCGACTCCTCCTCTTCTTCGACTCCTCCTCTTCTTCGTCTCCTCCTCTTCTTCGACTCCTCTTCTTCTTCGTCTCCTCCTCTTCTTCGTCTCCTCTTCTTCGACTCCTCCTCTTCTTCGTCTCCTCCTCTTCTTCGTCTCCTCTTCTTCGCCTGCTCCTCCTAATTCTTCTGTTTTTTTCTCCCTTTCTTCTCCCCTTCTGTTCTTCATCTCCTAATTCTTCTTCATCTGTTCTTCTCTAAATTGATCTTCACCAGTCAAAAGGTGCGAGTTGATCCTCTCCTCATCGTCTCCTCTTCTTCTTTACGCACCAGTCAAACCGTGCCTTTTTACCACAAGATCCCGTCACGGTACTGTTTATTCATGAGCCCTTGTATAAGAGCATTAACGCGAGGCCCATTTCAGTCAAGCAAGTTAATTTAAGTGCGAATACGTGTTTGTGGCATGTCATTCATTTAATATGTATTCGCATGAACCGCATTGAATTAAATGAATATTCAAATCAATTTAATATATATTTATAAACAAATATGCCGTAGAAAGCACACCCCTGTGCGACTGAGTATGGTTTTTACGCCACTTTTTAGCAACGCCCCGGTCGTGCCAATTAACACTTATCAGAGGGGTACACAAAGTCCGCAGTCTAGACTACCAGTTGTCCGACTTCCATTTTTGTGGAAGCCGAGGTGGTTGAGCGGTCTAGGCGTCTGACTTTGTGTGCTGGCGATTAGGTGCCTGACTCTGAGGGTGTGGGTTCGAATCCCGGATGGGACTCAACCCCAAAAGTACTAGAATCTGTACTTTACTAAGAAAGTAGAATCCCAAATGTAACATATGTAACATTCCAGAAAGTATATGTGTGTGTGTGTGTGTGTGTGTGTGTGTGTGTGTGTGTGTGTGTGTGTGTGTGTGTGTGTGTGTGTGTGTGTGTGTGTGTGTGTGTGATATATTATCATAATCACCACCATCATCATAATCAACGTCGTCGTCATTAGTCTATATTATTTGATTAACGCCTGTTTCATAAAGCTTTCTTCCTGAGGTCCTACACTACATGGGTACCCAACTCCGACACGTGCAAGTATGTCTTTTAACGCCTTTCTTCAGACGCGGGGATCCAACACCGACCTTCACGATCAATGGTCCAAAAGACAAACCAGCATTCCAAAGATGTGAGAAGGTAGTGCTAATTAAAGCCCCAATCGTTATTCATGTTACATTAACAGTTGTCCTTTCCGAGGGGCAACTCTCCGATAATCGTTAGGTCTTATAGGGTTATTATCACACGGCAAGTCCTGCCAACTTGGTCGGACGGTAGCGAGTGTTGGCACAGGCCTGGCTGTGAGACAACTCGACGGTTTATAAGGGTCCGGTGGAAGCAGTACCCGCGGGAGGAGAACACTGCAGGTGGATGTACCATGATGGTGTAAACGTGGGTGGAGCAGCAATGAGTGACGGTGGGGTGGCAGTTACCCTACCCTCCCGGATACTCCGCTGTAGGACTGCCGTGGGGGTGCTGGGAGAAGACTGGTGAGTGACAGCTTTAGCTTACAGTGTAAGGGAGTACTGCTAACACAGACCCTGACAACAAGATACTGTGTATACATTCTTAATGTTTCTTATGAGGGATTCAGATGATTTTCGGGGACAGGACTGAGTAATGTCAAAATTTTTTTATCAACATCCTGATTAACTGAATTTACTGTCTCCTTACTGTTTATTGTAAGTGAGTGAGTTTAGTTTCATGTTTTAGCAATATTCCAGCAACATCACGGCGGGGGACACCAGAAATGGGCTTCACACATTGTACCCATGTGGGGAATCGAACCCGGGTCTTCGGCGTGACGAGCGAACGCTTTAACCACTAGGCTACCCCATCGCCCTTACTGTCTATACGTTCTTCGTGTTTCTCAAGGTAGAGACCATATGAGCTTGGGGGAGAGGGTTGGGTGGGGGTGGTTTTCCCCAAAGTAATCAATATCCCGTCTTACTGAATTTACTTGATCCCCTTGACAAATAAAAAAAATCAATCTCCTTTTTCACAGAAATGTACTTAGACGCTAACAACAAATTAGACACCTTACTCTTTATTCGGTCTTGATATTTCTTTAGGAGTGAAAATATGATTTTCGGGGGAAAGGGTGCGGTCGGGGTGTGGCGTCTTGTGCTTTGGTGTGCTTTGCCCCCAATATGATCACTCTCCTCTTTTAATGACATTTTGATTTTTACGGGCCTCGCATTATAGAAAAACGTTCCCCTTTCTTTGAGACGTGTCCAGTGTATACATTTAGTTTTATATGCCTATAAAGGAATATTTGGAAGCTGTTCTTATTGTAAAAAAATGATTGAGCTTCTAAACATAAACAAATGTATTTCTGTGTCTTTACAGTGGTAAAATATCGTAATCATGAAACAATAAGATGTTAAAGGAAATATGATCATTCGATTTTGAATACATGATTGTTCGCTGATCTCGCGTAATGTCATCCTGTCATGGGAAAGCATTAATCTCTCGAAACAGTAACCGAATGCATATCCAGACCTTTTGAAAAACAGAAAAAGACACACACACAACAGAAAAATTCAACACAATTTAAAAAAATAATAATTTGATTACGAATACATGATTGTTGACGAGTGTTCCCTGGTCGTGCGTGATGTCATCCTTTCATAGGAAAACATCAATCTCTCGAAACAGTTTATATCCAGATGTGTTGAAAAACAGAAAAATAAACATGTAAGTCGTGCATTTACCGGGGACTACTCTAAGCGTGGGTCTCCACGGGGAGGGGTGAGGTGCAGTGGGCCTACAATGAGGGTTATTGTAATTATGTAGTGACGAGCATTCCGACTGAGATATCATGCTACAGTTTAACACTGTGCCCCATTCAGAAACAGTACGGACTCTGACCGGATGTCTGTTTATCGACTGAATGACGGGCACAGGGCACCAAAGATAATCTTCAAACGTTTTAAGGCGTTAAATCACGCTCAATTCACTCATTGAATAAAGAGTGTTAAACACGTGCAGAGTCAGACACACGCACGCACGCACACACACATATACATGCTCAATGCATACTTGTCCCGGTCTAGACCCTGTTGGTTTGTGTTTGTTTGTTTTGTTTATTTGTTTGTTGTTTGACGCTCCACTCAGCAATATTCCAGCTATATGGCGGCGGTCTGTAAATAATAGAGCCGGGACCAGACAATCCAGTGATCAACATCATGAGCATCGATCTACGCAAATGGGATATGATGACATATGTGTCAACCAAGTCAGCGAGCCTGACCACCCGATCCCGTTAGTCGCCTCTTACGACGAGCACGGATTGCTGAAGACCATTTTTAACCCGGATCTTCACGGTTGACCTGTGATTCAGTCATTGTATAAATAGCGTTAAAATATCAGGCCATATATTCAAAGTTAATTTCAAGAAAAGTATCAGTGTATATGTATGTGTTGTGCAGACAGGCGCGTAGCAAGCCCATATTTTCGTGTAACCCCCATAGGTCGCAAAGCTTTATATTTAGATAGTATAGAGGGCTTGCCCAACCTTTTTAGGACTGACTGGCTGACTGAGTTTAGTTTTACGCCGCTTTTAGCAATATTCCAGCAATATCACGGCGGGGGACACCAGATCCTTTCTAGGAACAATCATGTGCAAGCCCTGGCTATTTTTATAATGGTAGCTTAGCCCCTGGCAGAAGGGGTGGTATCAAAGAAGTCTTACTGATTCCAGTTTCTTACTCTTTATTTCAAATATCACAGGGAATATTAATAATAGTCAGATTCGTCATCATGGATCGGTCAACACGAATACACCTTCCTGCCTTTCGCTATCTCTTGCATGGCGATTCTGTTTTGTGGGGCATTTTCAGTCGTTTTACGCCGCAGTTAAACTTATTAGAGCTATATGACGGAGTTTTATATGTATTTGACACTGGACCAGGCAATCCAGTGATTGACATCATGAGCATCGATGTACGCGACTGGGATACTGCATCAACGAAGTCAGCGAACCTGATCCCGTTAGTCGCATCTTACCGCACGAGAAGCTTGCTCTTTCTATCATCTGTCCCGCATCTTCACGAGTGTTTATGTTGGAAATTACAGCCCCTGAATTAATGAAAGAATTAATTAATGAACGAATGAATGAATGAATAGGGCTAGGTTAAAATACGGCTGAATTTAAAACATAAGATAAACAAACAATATACAAATGTTATAAATTCAAAATTGTATATAAAACTGAATACATGTTGGAACGAGCAAATGTTTAATCGTGTTGATCAGCAGTTATGTCTATCCCCGTTGTGAGATTTGTTGAAACAGAAATAAACATATTGCTTTTCCAAGTACACACGAAACCTATCTGAGCCAATGAGGATGAAAATGGTCGCTCGCTTATTCATTACCACAGACACCAAATGGTGTGAGCTGTTGTTACAGTGCCCAGTCTGTCTTAAGCTCCTCTCAGACAGCCATGTTGCACAATCGGGACGGAACTATATGAGAAGGATTAGTCCAAGACCTGACGATCTCTGTCGTACATCCGATCACATCCACGATATGCGTCATTACATGCTGCTGTTGAAATATCTGCTTTCATGTAGTCTCACGTTCAAATATCTGTCTTGCTATTGTTCCACGTTGAAACATCTGCCTTCATATAGTCTCTCATTGAAATATATGTCTTGAAGAAGAATGTGACAAATATACCTTCATATAGACTCACGTTGACATATCTACCGTTACTTTACCTCGCGTTCAAATATCTGCCTTGATGTAGTCTGAGGTGTCTACTTTGACTTAGTCTCAGGTTGAGGTGTCTGTTTTGATGAATCCTCACGTTGAAATACATGTGTACGTATACTTTGATCCAGGAGTCATGTTGAAATACGTACCTTGATGTAGGACTCATGTTGAAATACGTACCTTGGTGTAGGTCTCACGTTGAAATACGTACCTTGATGTAGGACTCATGTTGAAATACGTACCTTGGTGTAGTCTCACGTTGAAATACGTACCTTGATGTAGGACTCATGTTGAAATACGCACCTTGATGTAGGTCTCACGTTGAAATACGTACCTTGATGTAGTTTCACGTTGAAATACGTACCTTGATGTAGGACTCATGTTGAAATACGCACCTTGATGTAGGTCTCACGTTGAAATACGTACCTTGATGTAGGACTCATGTTGAAATACGCACCTTGATGTAGGACTCATGTTGAAATACGTACCTTGGTGTAGTTTCACGTTGAAATACGTACCTTGATGTAGGACTCATGTTGAAATACGCACCTTGATGTAGGTCTCACGTTGAAATACGTACCTTGATGTAGGACTCATGTTGAAATACGTACCTTGGTGTAGTCTCACGTTGAAATGTGTACCTTGATGTAGTTTCACGTTGAAATACGTACCTTGGTGTAGGACTCACGTTGAAATACGCACCTTGGTGTAGTTTCACGTTGAAATACGTACCTTGATGTAGTCTCACGTTCAAATACGTACCTTGATGTAGGACTCACGTTGAAATACGTACCTTGATGTAGGACCTACGTTGAAATACGTGCCTTGATGTAGTTTCAATTTGAAATACGTACCTTGATGTAGGACTCACGTTGAAATACGTACCTTGGTGTAGTCTCACGTTGAAATACGTACCTTGATGTAGGACTCACGTTGAAATACGTACCTTCATGTAGGACTCGCGTTGAAATACGTACCTTTATGTAGGACTCATGTTGAAATACGTACCGTGATGTAGTTTCACGTCTACTTTGAAGTAGGACTCATGATTACAATATCTACTTTGACGCGCAAGTCACGTTTCACGTAAAGCTCAAAATCAGTATTTTATCAATTTCAGCTCTAACATCCGCTTCTTACCCTTTTCAGCTTAAGACTAAAATCAAGAGACTTCAAATGGTTCCGTTAACAATCGTGTGTTCCCTCAGTGACTGAGTGAGTGAGTTTAGTTTTACGCCGCTTTTTGCACTATTCCAGCAACACCATTGCGGTGTGTGTGTGTGAGAGAGAGAGAGAGAGAGTGTGTGTGTGTGTGTGTGTGTGTGTGTGTGTGTGTGTGTGCGTGCGCGTGCGTGCGTGCGTGTATGTGTGTGAGTGTGTGAAAGGGGGAGGGGACAGAAATGGGCTTCACACTTTGTACCCATGTGGGGAATCAAACCCGGGTGTTCGGCGTGACGAGCGACCGCTTAACCACTAGGCTTCCCCTCCGCCATTCCCTTTTACATGCCGAGGGATATAGTCGTCGCCTCGTCCGTCTGTCCGTCCGTCCGTCCATCCATCCATCCGTCCATCCGTCCGTAACCATTTTATTTCCGTTGCATAACTCCAAGACCGTTCGATATTTTCCAACAAAAACTGGTAGATATATCAAACAGAACGTAAGGTGGTGCCTTTTACTATTTACAGATTTTTGTCATTTTTAATTTTCTCGGTTTCCATGGAACGTTTTGGACTTGGTCTTAAAGGGAGGGGTGGGCTTCGTTTCCGGAGC